AAACCAAAAGTGATCGGAAACGACCAAAATACAGGTTCATCAGATCCCAGACCCGTAAGAGGAAATCTCACATTAAATGTTTAATTTTCGAGATTTACTGATTTTTAAACAAGCCATAAAATTATTTTGAAATAGGGACATTTAGTACTGTGTAGTGATTAGTGACCGTTTGTCGATGATTATTCAGAAATCGTAAGATGCAGTCTAGTGTGATGTAGGTTTCCGAAAAACATTTTCTTTATCGTGCCATGTTTCGATCTTTATTGAGATCATCTTCAGCGCCTGGGATTTACAAACATTGTTTAAATTTAACAAATACATGTAGGATGGGGCAACAAGTCAATTTGTACAATGCAAATATATATATAATTTTTTTTATATTCCTGAAGATGATCTCAATAAAGCTTGAAACGTGGCACGATAAAGAAAATGTTTTTCTGAAACCTACATCACGCCAGACCGCATCTCACGATTTCTGAATAAACATTTAGTAAAATTGATTATCTACAGGATTATCTACAGAAATATTCACGTCTGTTCGCAGGACACTGTATTTCTCATTTTTTTGTTATTTTTCACAAAAAATAACTTTTATTAGCACACGACCGTTAATTTGTAGCGCATCGTGACGCTTTTCCTTTGATGTTGTATTCGTAATATTTTATGAGTAAGGAGGCTTTATGAGTAAAAGTTGTGCAAAGTTGAAAGAACTACAATTGAGGATCGAACTATTGACGTTGTTCACTGGACACCCTGTATCTATTATAAAAAGGTTTATTGTTTATTGTCACAATAATCAAATAAAAACAACCGAATTTAATTAAAGGAATGATATTTTATTGCGACTTTATTCGTTCAGGCTTTTGTACAACGTGATCAACTTTTTTCCCACGGCGGTTTCATTTTATTATCCACCGGTTTTGAGAAATTTCAATAAATCAAGTTCCCGTTTCCTGGAACGTTTTTATTGCTGCATTCTGAACCGCCTTTTTCCGTCCTTCAGATTATTTCAAAAGACTCTGGGACAAATAAAGCTGTGGTAGAGGTTGAAAGACGATTCTACGCTATAATAACACTACAATATGTGCCAAGTTTCCGTTTATTTAAGCTAACGTAAAATAGGTTAAAAAGTTATAAATTCTTGGATAAAGCAGGGAGGTGAATCAGATTTAAATTGTCCTTAATGGGATGGTGGTCAAAAAAATTCAAAATTGGTCAGAAATACTTGTTTTTGTACATCCGCCGTTCTCCGTGTCAAATTATAGCGGGCGTAACGAACTCTGACCCATCTACTCTTTTACCTGGATATAAAAATTAATGGATCTCGGCCAATTCTATTAAAAGTTAGCAATATATTCTAGTGAGAAAGATTTAGATGTGAACTAATCATGTTTTATATTGATTGTGTACACTTTCCAGCATATACCAACAAATTTTGACAACATAAATTTAACTTAGAGAAGAAATGCTTAATACTTATGCTATTTCAAAAGAAACCCTCGTTTCGTAGGCCAAAGCGATTTTTTAAAAAGAGTTATTCGTCGTCTTTTATTCCTCGTTACTTCTATATTTGTCAATGCATAAAGAAAAATGGATCTTGACAGAATAAATACTTGAAAATTTGGACTTTTAACTACGGTCAACTTTTTTGAGAAAATCCTTCCTTACGAATCACTGATCTTCCAATCTTTTTCCCAGGTCAATAAACGTTCGTAGGTTTAATTAGTCCCAACGAATAAAAACGATTTATTATCAATTCTATAAAGTAATTTGACGAAAAATATATTAACCAATTTTAGAAAAATTTTGCCTTTCATATTCTAAAACCCAATCATAATAATTGGCGATTGGCACAATTTTTGATAGATTGCCTGATGTATAATTTATTTTTTCGTGAGATTTTTTAGTTAGGTCTTTTTCATTCATCTTGATAAGCCTATCCTCCCTACTTTATTTAGACACAACACGAAATTTTGCAAAATCAACATTTATTACTTATTTTCTGCTAAATCTTTCTAAAATCCATTTCCTCACTATTTTGCAAAACTTTCAGCCTCTAAAGTGTATTTCTGCGAATAAATCGCCGTGAAATCAATTGGAATTGATAGCGATTGTTCTGTTTTTTGATCAGTCCGAAATTTTCTATCAAATGTTGTGTAATTTGGTAGTGCCCATCATCCTGGTCCGCCTATCCTCGCTGTTTTGTTTAGACGACACGAAATCTCGCATATTAAACAATTATTTCTTATTTTCTGCTAAATCTTTCTAAAATCAATTTCCTGACTATTTTGCAAAACTTTCAGCCTCTAAAGTGTATTTCTGCGAATAAATCGCCGCGAAATCAATTGAAATTGATGACGATTGTCCCTATTTTTGATCAATACGAAATTTTCTACCAACTGTTTTGTAATTTGGTAGTTTCTGATCGTCCTGGTCCGCCTATCCTCGCTGTTTTCTTATCACGAAATATCGCAAATTCAACATTTATTGTGAGATTTCCTCTTAGGGTGTGAGGTGTGGTGTCTGATGAACTTGTAGTTTCGACGTTTCCGATCACTTTTGTTGTTAGACATGGTCTTGCATTCTTCAGTGTTTCGTCTATAAAATTTGATGAAGAAGTGGCCCAGCCTCAGCATTGAAGAGGGCAAAAAGCCCGAACGTGTCTGATACCCAAAGCCAATGAGTATATGTAAAATTGCTTATTTTCTGATGACTCTCTATAAAACCTTTTCACCATTCTATTATGTAATTGGGTAGTGTCTGATCATCCTGGTCCGCCTATCCTCGCTGTTTTGTTTTGTTATCTAGAAATATCGAAAATTCAACATTTATATGAGATTTCCTCTTGGGGTCTGAGATCTGGTGTCTGATGAACTTGTAGTTTCGACGTTTCCGGCCACTTTTGTTGTTAAACATGGTCTTGCATTCTTCAGTGTTTCGTCTATAAAATTGTATGAAGAAGTGGCACAGTCTCAGCATTGAAGAGGGCAAAAAGCCCGAACGTGTCTGATACCCAAAACCAACGAGTATATGTAAAATTGCTTATTTTCTGATGACTCTCTATAAAACCTTTTCGCCATTCTATTATGTAATTCGGTAGTTTCTGATCATCCTGGTCCGCCTATCCTCGCTGTTTTGTTAAGAAATCTGTAAAATTCTCCAATTAAATATTTATTGTGAGATTTCCTCTTGGGGTCTAATGTCTGGGGTTTGATGAACTTGTAGTTTGGCAGTTTGGTCTGTCAGACCCGTTCATCTCGCATTCTTCAATGTCGTGACTAATTTTATGAACAAGTAACCCAGGCTCAGCACTGAAGATGTCGAAAAGCCGGAACACGTCTGGCACAGAAAACAGCGAGTATATGTGAAATTGCTTATTTTCTGATGACTGTCTATAAAACCTCACTATTTTGAAAAAACCTTAATAAAAATTGATTGAAACCTGACCGAATAAACGAATTTTGGGCCGTATTTTACCATCAAATAGTTTTTGAAATAGGCCAGTTTAAAGAATCAGCTCAAGTGTTATTGTTTGTTTTCTGAGGGTCCTCTCAAAAACACATTTCCTTTTTATCTCGCGAAATTATCAAACGAATCGGATGAAACATGGCCTAACAATTAGGCCGGGCTCTGTTCTGAAAAAGACAAGAACAAAAAAGCAACGAGGAATCCGCCCTCGGGGCATAAACATGTTCGTTGTTCATCTTAGCAGATTTTCTCTAATATAAATTAATTTGTTTAAACTTCGCAGAATAACTGCTACATCGAGACTTGAACAATTATCAAAGTTTTTTTATTATTAATTTTTATTATAAAACAAGGTTTAACTATGGTCAAAAAGAACTTTTTGCTTCATAATTCTATACAATTTTCTTTGGTTTTTCTTAAAATATTTAACTTCTCCTTACACAGAGTAATGTTATTTTAAAGTCAATTTATTTTTAAAGAAAAATAAAACACATTGGCTTTTTGTTTTCTCGCTTCTGGAAACACGTATCAGTCGTTTGGAATCACCTTTGGACTCAACACTTGGATTTTACGAGCAACTCGAGGGGAAAAAATGTTTTTGCAAGTCGATGAACTTTTCCCAGGCACATTGGTTTCATCGAAATTGATCGCTTTTGGTCCGCCCGTCCTCGCCTGTTGACAAACACGTCTCGGTTTAACGGCACCTCCGGGGCTCTTGCCCAGAGGTCAACAGTTGAGCTGTAACAATAACAATTGATCATTTGTAGTCAACCTCGCACTTTTTCTGTAACTCAATTATGATCTGTGTTGATTAAAAAACAAAAATTATCGTCTGAAGCGTGAGACTTGCATAAAATCATAGGATAAATTGTGAGATTTTCTTTTGCTCTCTTCTGGTGATGAACCTGGTTGGGTCTAAAAAGCCGGCCTGGCAGACCAAAATGGTCGGAAACGACCAAACTCCTTATAAATCCACTGGAGAAGTAGCTAGCTAGAGGTAGAGCTGCAAGGTCTACCAGAAGCAGAACGAAAGCTTCCAAAGTTTACAAAATCTGGCAATGATTGTGTTTTTGTTGATTCTCGTCTCTACCTGACCTGCCTATTGCAGAATCGGCCAGTGGGCCTGAAGAGGCTTCCGCCCCATTTCTTCTCTTATCTGCCTTTCTTACAACCTGAAAGGCCAATAGTTTACAAGTTAATGGCGTGGGAAAGGATGACATCTTAGCATGACAAAAGTGATAGGGACATCGCTAAAAAGCCAAATGGAAGGTGGGGAGTATAGGTGTGTATGTTCCACCCGATAGGCTCTGTTATTGTCTCCCTTCCGGCCCTACTTCCTGCTCCGCGGACAACGCCTAAAATCCTACATATTTTTCCCAGTTGCACTCGAGAGTCACTCCCTGTTAGGGCACAACACTGAAAACATCACAGGTAAAAAGTCAAGAATAGGAAAAACACGCACCTGGAAGATCAAAACCAAACAAGTTTTCATGTTCACTGGTTACTTCATGAGTTCTTTTTTTCATTTTCAGCTTCTCCTGTGACGTCCGACAAAGATCAGACTGCACCGGCGGGTAAAGGTAAGACAGTTTTACGTCACAGCTTGATGGGTGCATATTGCTCTTTTACTTCCTATCTGGGCTTTTTTTTCTATTTTTTAGCACTTAGTTATGTGTTGTGTATTATTTTTGCAAATTAGTTTTAAAAAAATATTAAAGTGGCTTTGAATGGTGTAAAAGATACTCATGTGCTTTTATTTTTGTATTACCTTTTGATGGCGCCGGCAGTCATCAAGCAGCCGTCTATTAACCATGCGTGTCCAATCCAGCGTTTTTCCGAAACGCAATTTATAACGTTTACTAGAATAATTAAATTTGTTTCGAGGCTTTTAAAAATATATTTTCAGATTTAAAACGTGTATCTGAATTTAATGACGTCCTAAAAACGATACAATTTCAATTTGACGAGTCAAAAGCTTGAAGAACAGCTTTTTACAAGCGAATGAAAACCCAAGATGGCTTATTTTGAGAATGCTTTTTTAACATTTATTTTCAATATGACTTCGATGTTTTATAATGAAGGAACATATTTTTTAAAATATTTTCCACCCTAGTGTCATTTTTTAACGGCTTATTTTCTCCAGAGCGGGGAAAATTGTATGAAAAGAAAAATAACATGTCCTAATTTTCTCCTTCGATTCATAATTTTTCAAATCACTCATCCTTTTGCTGGAAAATAAAACAGGATGCTCAAGATTTGGCGTATCGTCAAGATTTCAAACGAGGCCTTATACCCTGACACATCATTTTAAAGGATTCTCTCGACTTATTTGAGAAATCCGTTTTTCTTTTTAATTAAAGAAAGTAACAAAACGTTACATATACATTTTTACCGTTAATTACCTTGTCATTTGGCGTAAATTATAGTTTACTCAACTTTATTTTTACATTTTCTCCCTCGGGTGCCAAAGAGTGAAAAGATTGGGTCGGCTCTCACGCCATCTTCGATAATAACATTGTCATAAAATAAATTTTGTAGATAAAAATCCCGATAAACGTGATTAGGGGTTTTCCGTTAAAAAAATAAAAACCAACAGATCGGCTGAAATGTTTATGCTAGATAAAATGTTCGTGATTCCTAGGTTTTCTTCTAACTATGCAAATTTCTTCACAAGTTCGAACGTTTGGTGGCGTTGATTTCTGTGACTATCTCCTATAAACGAATTAATTTTTAATTCTAACGGGAGGAAAACCCTCCGTTAAACCCATTATGATTCAATTTTAAACGTAACGAGCGGGATTCGAACCCACGACCTTCGGTTCAATACGCCGCTACTCTACCACTTGACCTATCGTGACTTCGATCCACTCGGACACTACCCGTCTCAACCCCACCTTTTGAATTTTCCCTCCTTTTTGCCATTTTTCATTTGTCGACGAGAATCAACTAGATTACATTTGAAAAATCGCAAAAGGAGGGAAAATTCAAAAGGTGGGGTTGAGATGAGTAGTTAGTGTCCGAGTGGATCGAAATCACGATAGCTCAAGACTCAAGTGGTAGAGTAGCGGCGTATCTAGCCCAAGGTCGTGGGTTCGAATCCCGCTCGTGACGCTGACTTTTTTATCACAACTAAAATCCTTAATTAATTGGTCAAGCGGACCACGAAAATTAGTGAATTTAAACGTAACATAATTCAGTTGAATCATTCCTTACAAAAAAATAATTAAGATATTGCAGAATATGTTTTAGGAGGGTCTTTACGATGTCATTCTTCTTGAACGATTTTAACGAAATTTTGATTATAGTTCTCCAAAAGTACAATAAATGCGCAAGATAATCTAATTTTGTTAATTAATAAGTGAAATTAATAAAAAATAAATATATTTTTTGATTCATCTATGAAACAAGAAGTCCACCACCCAAGTAGGTAGATATTTTGTTTTGTGTCACCTTTTGCATATATTAGGAGTGAATGTATTTATTAGAGTGAATGAGAAGTCTGAAACGATTGTGGAATATTGAATCCCCATCGAACTTCAATTAGATTAATTACAAATGTATATAGTATACTGTATAGACATTCCATCGCATACATCCTCCACCTTTCTCATCAAGCGGTGGAGATTAGCAGGTTAAGTCGATCTGCTTTGCTTTGCGATATGCACAGTAACATATAAAATTTTATACTGAAACAATAACATGGCAAAACAATCCTGTGTCATTCCTACAATCATATTCATGAGGAACGCGTCTAAAAAAAAAATTGGATCAAAATTGGACCAGTAGATTTCGACATTACCACTTATGTACAAACAAATTTTCTTTATTATATTAGTATATATATACAACAACCTGCATATTCTGCTAGCAAAAGGATGATCTGATTGAAAGTCAAACTAAGAAAAATTAAAATACACGCCTTGTTTTTATTTTCAGTTCAAACTCAGGTTAAAATGAGCCGAACTAAAAAATAAAATGACACCCAGTGTGATGTAACTAATGTTTCAATTATTTAAAATATCTATTCTTAAGCTTAATATTTTTTTCTTTTTCTTTAAATTAAATTATAGTTCAATTTTTTTAAAATTAAGTTAAGATTGAGCTTTTAAAATGCCTGGCAGTTGCTTCGTTTCATTTTTCTCCCTTTTGCTCTTTATCCTCAACCTAATTTATTCTAAGAGCATTAAAATTCGTAACTTTTCCCTTAATAAATCTTTAAATATTTTGCTTTTAAATCTCTCTTTAAAAAACTGCTATCTTTAGAACAATTTGACAATAAAATTAAAAAAAAAATTGCATCATAATAACATGTTAAGGTTTTTGAAGTCCTTGAATTCCCTCTTACTTGGATCAAAACTTCCACTTTTAAAAAGACGTCATTATCTTTTTCCCTTTACAAATTATAATATATATTATTTATAAATGTGTTAACCACAATTTCTTTTATTTTCAGTAGCCAAAATTATTTTTTTTTATTGTAATTTTTTATTTATTTTGCAATGAAGTTGAAACCAAACACATGCTGGAAATGTTTGTAGCTCATTGATTTAGTAATTTGAAAATTTTTAATTGTTATTTAAAATATAGAAGAATTTTTTTAACATTAAAAAATACATAATGTTATTGGTCAGGTTTTAAAATATAAAAATGAGCAAAATTTTAGTGTCAAAATATTCTATTTATAAACTAAAATAATTAATAATTGTTCTATAACAAACAAAACCCTTTTAAATTTTTTTCCGGTTTTCAATTATTTTTCTTTAAATTGTATGTCCGTAGAAAGTACAATACCGACATCTAGTAAGTCCAGGAGACAGAGGAGATCGAGGTTAAAAAGTAGATTTAAAGAGATGTTAGGATACCGAGAGACAAAAGGTCAAGTTATTAATTTGCACCCTTTCGGTGATGGAGACGAAGGATCGAAGGATGGAGACAGCGTAAGGACATCTAAACCAGATGATGATAACACATCGCAAAAGCTGTATGATAACTGCCAAGATGAGCTGACAAACTCGTCACTCGATTCTGTTGTTTTGAATCCCAAGCAAGAAACTGTTGTACTAGTCCATCATCCTGAAAACTCTGAAAATAAAGAGAATCTAGAGCCAAAAAGCGAAAAAGGAGTTAGGATTCAAAAAGATCTCATCCATTCTATTGATAAAAAATTGCTAGATTCAGTGTCAAAAAGTCAAGTCGTGGAAATCCTATGCGTATCTAACAAGGATTCATCAGACAGTTCAACCTATCCTGCCCAGAATGCAAATGGAGAATTAACCACTGAAGAGAGTCTTTTAAAATTTAAAACCGGTTCACCCCTAGTAGAACCTGACATGAAAAAAATGAACTCTCCTGTTATTATAGACGTACCACAAAAACCACCACCTACTCTGAAATATATTGATTTTGTTTTACCACCAATTCAACATTCAGTTGTTTTAGAAGTTGACCAAGGAAAGAAACAGAGTGGTTTGAAAAACGTCTTTCCAGATTCTTTTCCAGAAGAAAAGCCTCGTGTTTTAAAAGAAAATACTGCAATTGAAGTTGTCATATCTTCACCTAGTGATGATTTTCCAACTTCTCTCCAGCATCACTCGGATGATGTAGGTAAAGAGACTGTAAAATATTTATCTCCTAATGATATCATTGGGTTGTCTACTACAGCTGACACAGTAGACAACGATGATGAGCACATCTATGACTTAGATGTTCCCTTAATAGCAAATGCTGAACATTCAAGCTCTTCGAGCCTGTCGAAACTCCATAGGGCGGAAGAAGTTGAAGAAAAAAACATTGAAATTATCAACCCGCCTTGCCCTTTTATTCAGCAAATGTACTACATGCCTAGAAGGTATTTGGAGGTAATCTCTGAAGAAAATAGTGATTTAAGTGATGCAGATAAACCTTGGGAGAATGCTGAGCGCATTAGACAAGTTAACAACATAAAAACGATTCCGGAGGATTGGTTTGGATCACAAGATGGCATCGATACTTCTTGGATGGATGGGAAAAGCTTAGAAGAAGTTTCAGATGTGCCCATTCTATCTGACTCTCAATCTGATTCTGACGTTTTAGATGAGAAAAAAGGCAAAAGAACCGAAGCCAAAAATACAGACAGACCACAGAATGTACTGACAGAGAAAACGTTCCAAATTCTAAATAAAGAACTTACAGATGTAAATACTAAAATTTCTGTAGTTAACGATGTAAAGCTTAATCCTTCAAGAAAAATAGTTGAAAATAAAAATATATACACCAATTTAGAGACAGTTTGTAAAAAACCATGTTTTAATTTGAAGACTTCCAATAAAAGTAAGTCTTTGTACAGTAAACCTCCACCTAGTGCATCTGTAGTGAAAAATGTAGTGTCGAGTTATTACAATTCAAAAGTAATTCCAGAACCTGTGCATGTTGATTTAGTCAGCAATGTGGCTCAGACCAGCAAAGCACAGATTCCAGAAAAAGATGTAGAACTAATATATATCGATAGCAGCGATTCTGAATTGTTTGCGACCAAAAGTGACACAAATTTGGCTGCCACAGATAACAAACAGGATGACCCGAATACAACAAAAGATGACAAAAACACAGACAGTGGAGAAATCAGTTCGGATATTATTACAACAATTATTGCTGATATTCAGGAAACAGCTAAAGCTATCGCTAATAGCAATGATAATTTTTTCACACCTGAAGGATCACTTCTAGCAATATATGACAACGAAATAAAATATTCAGAGGATTTTAATAAAGAAAGAAGATTGTCGTATCCTATTACAAAATCTGACATAACAACGGAAAAATCTAAACAAAAGGAAATGTTTTTTCAGGCTGATGATGATTTAAATGTTAGAAGTTTGTCTACGCACAGTACAGAAAGTTTTAGTTCTCAGAGTACTGCAAGACATTATTTAAATCGTGTTCTGACTTTGAAAGAATTGAGCTCCAGTGCAGTTCTGAATTTGCCTTGTGGTCTCAAAATGCTAAAACAGCTGGGCATCAGCTATTCAGATATTGATCAGTATTCTGGTTATATACCAGAAGATTCTGAATATTCATATTCATCGAAGAATCAGTTGTCTGATAAAGAACTAAACTTGAGTGGAGAATTTGGTAAAGACAATGTTGAAAAAAGCCCAAATAATGACCTCTGTCAATCAGAAATAGAAAAGTTTGACTTATTTGGAACACTTCAGCCTTCAAATCATACTAAGAATTTGCTTACTATAACTATACAAACTGATCAAAAAAGTCAAGAAAGTTCATCGCCTACCCAATTGAAAACGTCTAATTCTAAAGAAAATACAGTTGACCTTCTTGATCTACATCAAAAATTTATTGAAAGGAGAGGATATTATGAAGTGCCAAAATTGAATTATGATTCTAATGAGCCAGAAATTGTTTATTTAAACGAGCAAGATGAATTCTTGGCTCTGAAGAAATATCACGAAAGTAGGCAACAAAAGATGAAATCAGCTTCAAAACCGAAGAAATCTGGCGAGTCTTTACCAGAAAAAGAAAAGAAAACAAAAATAAGGGAAATGCATTCGGATTACCTTGAAGAAGATTGCAATTCAGTTGGTAATTCAAGACTCTTGGAACTTTTCCAAAGTTTGGATTCACAAAGTTCAAGTGGTGAGAGTAGAATAAAGGATTCTTCTTTGCAAGGCCAATTTGGCAAACCACTAGACAAAATGAATGTTGATTCTGATAAGAAAGTGTCAAAAAGTGATGTTTGTACACCTGACAACTCTAAAGGTGACAACGAAGGTAAAACAAAAATAGAAGATGTTAAAGTGAAAAAATCCGAGCCAGATGCAGTTCACAGGCAGACCAATAGGATAAAAATTAAAAACAAAAGGCCTAAATCTGTTCCTACACAAGGTGAAACATTGCGTACTAAAATGTACGAGGAGTATATGGACAAGCTGTCAGCCCTTACCGAACGAAGGCAGTACAAAATAATCAAACTCTCTGGAAGTTCGAACAACACCGTCCCTGCAAAAGGCTCGTTACAGATAGAATCGGAATTCATGGACAAAGTTAGAGAGCGGATGGTGAAATTAGGAATTCAGAATGATGAGCAAACGGGCGAATTGACAAATGAAACGAAGGCGGAAGAACAAGTACCTAAACACGTCAAAGAGCTGATGGAGTTGACAGAAGAGTGTGGTGAGTTTTAAAATGTTTTGAGTGTTAATATGATGTCCTAACATGGTTTCGTTAATGTTTAATAACAAGACAGCCTCTGGTCAGAATACATTATACATATATATATTTTTTTAAACTACTCTTTTAACTACTTCTAACTATAATATCCAGTCTGTTCTTACATATTAACAGTTTGTTTTTTATAATTAAGAATTTAAATAAAAGCTCAAAACTGTATTTTTAGGAAAATGCCTAACTATGCTACAACGGTATGCATTTGACCAATTAATTATTTTTCTTAATGCAACTTATACACAACACATAACTAACTTGTTAATCATAGTACTGCATAATAAGTTAATTCTGGAGATATTTACTGTGCTGAAGAGCATAGGTGATTTATAAAACTATTAGAACGTGAAGGCTTGTTTAAAATTTTAATTTAAACTTCTCCAGTTTTGATGGTACAATCAGTGACAGAAAGAAGTCGTTTCATTTATAAAAAATTCTGAAATTGACCCTCAGCTTTCAAGCTTATATGATAATTTACATAGAAAAAGCCTTACAAAAAAAAGGGCTCGGAACTTTTGCTGTGATTAAATTTGAAACTTTACATTATTCATTTTTTTAAAATTTGTGTGTACATAGTGTAAATTAAATAATTATTAATATGGTCAATTATGACCACTAAACATATATGGATTAATATAACTATTAATGTACAGTAAAAGAATAATTTTGAAATTTTCATAACTAATGAAATAACAGTACTTTAAGTTTATACAGAGCACCTTAAAGATTAATTAATTTCCAGAGTGCACAATTTATTTTCAGTTTGTTTCTAGATGTGCATGCATGCTTTTCACTGTAAAAATCCCTTTTGAGTTATATTCTAGGCTTGTATTGCAATGCTTATATTGCTTCACTGCACTTTGTAGATATCATTGGTAAACATGGGCTTTTGATTGAAATTGACCAAGCACTTGGCCCAGAACAAAAGGGCTTTCTAACAAAAAAAGGTAATGGATATTAATTCCATTTTCTTTTGTCTGTATGTATTTCTTTCTAAATCTAATTTAGTTTTTTTTTGTATTTCATGGTAATATTATTTCATTTAACAAAATAATTGCTTATTTCTGTTATAAATCGTTGGAAAATTTTCTCAATGTGGGATTGTGTTATCAATTATTAATTATTAAAATAATATTATGAGTAGTTTTGTGGTTCATGTTACTGCAGAACTTGATGCCAGGTTCCCTCCTTATTTCTAAAAAAAGCTTGGTTTGCTTCAGTCGGTTGCCAAACCTTCACCAACACACACACTCGCCCAGTTCTGTAACTTGCTCCAATAATTAATAGAGATTTTGTGAAGGGGTGGATCACATCTTTGGATTAAATGAAGTTTTTAACGGTCGTCCGAGTGAAACCGATTCAGAAATATTGTCAGGGACAAAAGTGCTGATTTGCAATAAATTAATTTGTCAATTGCTAAAATCGCTTATAACACGAAATGCCTGTGATCGATTCGCCAGTTTTTGCGCCAAAATTTAAAGCAAACAAATTAAAATCAGGTACTTGTGATGGTTGTGAATTAAAAATACCTGATTTGTTTTAACTGAAAACTTTTATAACAAACTAACAAACATACTATAATAAAATATTAAAATTCTAATGAAATTTTAACTATAATAACAATTATTACCAATGGTCAAATTTGTTTGGCTATGATTTTTCCATCTTAACTTAGCTGAATGTTAAACTGGGAACTTCATCCAACCACCATAACAAATCGTATCATTTTAAGAGATTTGACTGGTTTTAATTATATTACTTTCCTGAATAAAAATTTGAATTAGCACATTGCCGTTTCAGTGTATCCCCCTTCATAAAAATACCTGTAATGTATAGTCCACAGTTCATTTACATTGGCACTTTATCAGATGTTGTAGGTTGTTTCTTGGCAATGTCAAGCTAACCTTTATATAAACCAGAATTAAAATAAAATAATGTTTTAATATCGTAAAAATTATCAAAACTTTGTCTAAAGCAAAAAAAAATTATTTAAATTGATAGAAATGTTGAAAATAATTAATAATACATCAATGGGTGCATGCTTTTTTCTCGTATACAGGATATCATTTAAACTTTAAATTCACAACAACAAATTTTATGTAGGTTTCTTTTTTTGAAACTGTAAGGTCTCAAAGAGATGATAACAGCCCATTTTTAAAGTATCTAATAGATCTCATTACCAGACTTGTGTAATTTGTTTATGTAAATATGCACATAATCAATTCAATCCATTTAAAAAAAAATCTGATTGTAAAGATATAATTTGGGAAAATTATTTTTCTCAAAATATTGGTTTTAAGTCAAATGCATAGATAGTTGAAATAATTTTTAACAAGCATTTTAAAAAGTTAAATATAAAAATCTTCCTGTATTAATAAAATTAAATGCCAGATGGAAACAAAAATCCTTAAGCCAATTTTTAAATTCTTGCATAAAAAAAATCACATTGTACACAAATTCCTACAACTGTCTTTTGATGTAAATAAGATCTAAATGTTAACAATGTTCATACACAAATGTATATATATTGGTCAGGAGTATAATTGAAAATGAGATAATAGGTCAATCGTATGATCAGGGATGAAAAACCCTTGATATCACTTAATTTTATTTTTATTAACATGTAATGTTATTATTTGGTAAGGGGTTTTGGGATAAACAGTAAAACTGTATGCAGGAAGACAAATTGTTCTTATTTACTTTTTTTAAATGCACATAAATTTTGTACAAATTTTGATCAATTCTTAATAACATCAATATGCCTTATTTTTTTTTTTCTTAATGTTATCATTTATTGGCGAGGTTCCACTTTTTAGCTGGCATCAAACACGGAGTAACGTCACCAATTAGAACACTAAGCCTAGGGTCTATTTTTAGAAACACCCCCGCACACTGCAATTCACCTATAATCCATGGCTGCCCATTCAGCACTTCCCTGTCTCGAATAAAGTTTATTTACAAATCAGTGCAAACATCTGCAATACTCATTACGGTGGTGTAATGGGAAAGAATTTGCAGAAAAAAGACAATTATTTCTGTAGAATCTTATGCTAGCATTACTGAGGAGGGGGGGTGTTAATAAACAATTTTGCAAACCAAATGATAGTTGACTTATGGTAAAGCTTGTTTTTAATAAAATGGTTTGCCCTTGGAAAAAAATAAATAAACAAATTTAAAAAGAACAAAATTATAAACCATTACATTTTTTATTTTTGAATCTAACTACTTTCATTAACCTGATTAAATATAGTTTAATAGTTACATGGGAAGCCAATTCAATAAAAAAAATCCATTCATAAAAATGGTCATAAATAACTTTTTCACTTTTGCATTTTCATTCCTTTCCATTCACAAAAATTGTCATAAACATTTAGGTGTTTGGTCTCCAGTACAGACTCCAGAAGCGGAAAGAAAAAAATTTGACTTCCCTTCTGAAAGTGAGAAATCGAAAAAAGAAGAAGAGGAAGAGCAACCGCCACCAGTTTGGACACCACGGAGCGCCGGTGCCAGCCCTACTTTAGAGAGAAAGTTTCGGTCTGTCAATTTCCAGAGTCCACCGCCGAAACGAAAGGAACTTTCTGTAAAGGTACGTTGACAAACCAGTTGTTTACGAAGTACTTACTTTTAACTGCTATTTAAAATAGGATGAACCTGAACTTCCAAAAGAACTGCCTGTAGAAACAAGTCCGACCCGTCTTGTGTCAAGCACAAGTGAAAACAGTACTTTGACATCACAACTTCGTCTTCCCTCTGCACAAAATCCAACAATCACACTACTTCAAAAAGCCAGAGGTATTTTAAACGGTCAAGATTGATTTTTATTATTTATTTATTTATTTATTTTTTTTTTTTACAGAAGGGCATATTCCAAAAGGTGCTCAGTATTTGGATGAAACTACAAATACACAATACAGCCAATCATCACAGACTGACAGCTCAAGTAATAAAATCGTAAAATCATAAATCGTTTGAAAATTTCATTTATGCTTTGTTTGCAATTTTCCAGAATACTCAGTTAAAAATGAATATTTCACCGAAGAAGATGGCAATACAAAACATGTAATTGAGTTAACACCGAAAAAATTTGAAGGTATCGGACCGACGACACGAGAGGGAATTCCAATTGGCTTAAGATCTGTAAGCTTAGCATTAATAAACTTCAATTATTTAAACAATTTTATCAATTTTTATTTTTTATTCCATCAGGAAGTAAAAGAAGATAACCAACAAAGATGGTACAAGCGTATGTATGATTCTCTCCACAAGGCAGACCATGACAGTAAGTCAAAATTTATTAATTATAATAGAGACAGACAAAAATAAGACATTACTTTGTAAAATAAGTGCTAATAAATGACAAACATTTTTGTAAAAATAACCATTTTTACCATATTGTCATTTTATTTGCAGAGGACTTTGTAACAGTAAGATATAAGACAAAAAGAAAAGGTGAATAATTGTGTGCTTTGAATTGGTGCTTGGGACTTAACGACATAAACTCTTTCAAATTAACTTTAAAACAGCAAATAAAATCCGATAGCTTACACAGTTTGACAAATAAGACTAAATTTTAAAAAATATTTATAATTAGTGTTGTAGATAGATTAACAAATACACTTTTAAAATATTATTTCTCTTAGTTTTCTTCACTTAGTCTTATTGCGTTTTAAATTACTTTTCACATAAATCATTAATTGCACCAACATTTTCTAAATTGTCATCAGTTCAAAACATTCATCTGTAATTTCTTTTATAATACTACAGTGGAAACCCGTTTATCCGGACCCCGATGATCCAGAACTTCCAGATTATCCGGAACCATTTGTTAAATTTTTTTTAAATGAATTATTTGGAGATACGGTCTGGTATAGTGGTATAGACCTACGATCTCTAAATAATCATTAATTAACCGTCACCAAACACCACAGGTTTTTTATAAATTTCTCATAATTCTCAATGTAGGTATATTAATTTTTTAAAATTCACAATTCAACTATGGGACTTTTAATTCGTTGTTCGAAATTCGTAAAGGCCACCAAATCGCCCTTCCACCAGTCACACGATTGAAGAGGCCAGAGACCCTGACAGTTACGTTTTTGTTAAAAAAAAATAAAATAAAAAATAAAAAAATAAAAAAGGTGTATACTATTTTAAAAGACTAGAGATTGTTGTGTTGGTTGGACGTGTGTTGGCTTCCGTTGAAAGGTTTTTTTTATTAGGTATTGTTTACATATACATTTTTCGAGAAATGCATGTCTGATCTTAAACAAAAATAAAACTAATAAAAACTAGATCACTTTAAATGTTACTTGATATATGAATAAAAGTGTTTACTTTTGTATGCGTTTTTTTCCTTTTTTATAACACAATACTACTAAAATCACAAATTTTCAGATTATCCGGACTTTCGATCGTCCAGACAAGTCCCCGTCTCTTCAAGTCCGGATAAATGGATTTCTACTGTATTTTAATAAGATTATAATTAACATTTTATTTGTGTTGTTTTGAGAGAAATTATTATGCGCTAGAAAATTTTTACATTTTACTATTCGTTGCTTTTCCTCACATATAACCCTTTTTTTATATTATATTAAACTGCGACTATTTTATTTTTTAGGCCAATATCCATACACTTATGCTGGTGGATATGTGTCAGAGCCTGAAAGGTTAGGGTATGATTCAGATGCATCAATTTCAAAGTATGCAACTCTAGATCGGAGAAAAATCAGAAATAAGGAAAATGATTTTACGACCAGTACACTTCCAAGAAATAGGTAATTTTTTTTTTCAATTGGAAACTTTTCTATTGTACTAACCATGTGGCATATTAGATACGGTCCTGCTGTAAAATACGCTGTTAATGTTTACAAAAATCAACCAGGAAGAATAGAAGATTATGAACCGGGTCATTCATCTATTGCTGAAACAGAGACTAAACAAGTAAGGATTGATTTTTATTTATAAATATTATTTTTTATTATAAAAAGCATACAAATTTTGTCATTAACATTGAGTATGTTTTATCATCAAAGGCAATTAATTATTAAATTGTATTTTTAGTGGTGGGATGAAGTTTTGGACATTTTTGATGGTGTAAGTATGAAGCCAAGTGCATCAAATTAATTAATTGGATTATTAAAAGAACAATTACTTTTCAGGAATTAAATCAGACAAAAAGTCATTATCATTCCCCTTCCGAACGGCCGCCTAAGTCTTTCACATAGTAAGTACATTCACATTTAAGACATAATTATCGTGATTTTTAATTTTTTTCACCATTTTCAGCACGCTGAAAGATACGGGGTACGACAGCGATTCGACCCTTGTTTTCAAACGAAGGGAAAATAATATGAACCAACAGATTTCGCCAGCTGAACAAAAGATGGCGTACAAAGTGATTCAGAGAGGTGGTGAAGTGCCACTCCACGGCTTAAGAAAGCCAGCACCCGAACGCCCAAAAGGTAAAATACTTATGTCTTTCCATAATACAATTGATTTTTGCATGTAATTTTTTTAAATGAATTTTTATTCTGCTTTATTTTTATATAGTTACAATGCTGTTAAATAATATCTCAAAATGAAAATGTATAATTTTATATTTGTTATAAGATTTGTAAAATTTGATGTTTGGAATGTTTAAAGCTTCAAACAGTCCTTTGGCAATTTTAATTTACATTTTTTTTTGTCCCAAACATGAAGTTGTTTACACAATATGAACCTGTAGTGATTTGTTATATAAAATAATTCACATAAATGAGTGCATATCCTTTCACCAAATTTGTTTAGTTGTAATAATTGATTAATTTTATAAGAAAGTTATCAATATTATTTTTCAACAAAGGCATGAAAAGTTTTTTTTTACATTGATGTTTTTAGAGAGTGATTGCACAGCATGGTAATATTTTTCACAATTTAATTGCATAATGAAAACCAACCGTACACTGCTGCGAATAATTTATTGATTAGTTTAAACTTCCATATTTCACTTTTTTTATTCTACAGTTATCATTTATGAGTTAATGTAATTTGTAAAAATGGTAGGATTTTATTTTGAAAGAGACAAAAATTTAGTGATGTGTCAGCATGTCAATCTTAAAATGTACAAGAATATCAAGAAGAAGCACTCACAATTGAACTCACCCGAGAAAAATAATAATGCGTAGCTTTAAATAAGATAAAATACAATAAACAAATTATTAACGCTCTTAATTATAAAAATTGTATATTTTTTTTTAAATTTTGAGCATGTAGGTATAAATTGAATTAAAATAACAAAAGCAAGGCATGTTTGAAGGTGACGGTTTAGGGGTCAAGCAACAACGCACTGCTTGAGAAGACTTCACATTAATACCCACAGTGAAAAATTTCGTATTATAAAAAAAAATGTAAAATTTATTTTGTTTTGGTGATCTGTTTGACAGAAGATTCGGAAATAGAATATTTTCCTATATCACCAACACTGACGAGGATAAGAGTACACAAAAAAGGTGTTGGAAAACCGCAAGAAAAGGTTTACTACCCGGTAACGCGTGAAGAACCAGTTTTTGGAACTTACAAAAGAACGGCAAGAAGTGCGGCGATTCCGTCACCTCCAAGGCGGCTCTCTTCAAGAAACAATTCAACTTTGAAAATGTTTACCAAAATAACGACCAAATCACCTGAAAACCTCACTTACACTTGTGACAGGACCTTTACTAAGTGTAACAACAATCTTGATGTAAATTACAAGTTAGTCCCGAGTAGAATTAAGTCTAATCTGAAGAAATCTGATGTAACCAAAAGCCCTCCCACCACTTCATCAACTACAAAGAAAGAGATATTGAGAAAATCACCTGAATTAAAAGCTCCTGCTGAGGTAAAGAAGGCTATGAAGGAATCTAAAACACCAGAAACAATTGTGAAAAGCACATCTGTTTATTCTCCGCCTTTGTCGAAGAAGGCTGAAGACAAATCATTAAAAGTGACTTTGGCTATCTCTTCAAATGGGAAAGAAGTGTTTACATCATCTTCCACGGCAAGTTCAAAGAGTGATGTGAGAAAATCATCACCAGTCCAAGCCAAACAACCAAATGTAAACAAGACTAAAACAATAACATCATCTAAAAAACTAAGCACTTCTAACCAATCCTTAGCTAAAACCAGTAGGCCTTCAAGCAGAGCGAGCACCACAGCTGTTATAGAACAACCAAAAAAGATTAAAAAAGAAGTATCTAATGAAACTAAAAAGAAGAAAGATAAAAAACCAGAAGTAATTATTAAAAATATGGATAAATTAAAAGAGGATGATAAAAAGAAGCAAAAAAAGAAAAATGAAAATTCTTCTAAAAAGAAGAATAACTCAAAAAAGAAAGACAAAGAAAATGTCCCAAGTGTTGTTAATGGAGAGAACAATGATAATGTTGAAGATATTAAAAGTCCAGACTCAAAAACATTTTTTCAACATCTGCTGCTTCGAGAAGTCAATACAGGTCAGCCAGCATCAAACAATGCAGTGTCAACTACATTACAAAGAACGCCGTCGGTATCAGAGAGAGCAAAAAAATTTTCCGACTCTACACAAAATTCTTATAAATCTGAACCGTCGTTGAGGAATTTGAATGTTTATCTTTCTCAAAAGAAACCTGTTTCAGAGTCGAGGTTTCGTAGTCTGGACAGAGCTGATTTAGGCAGAAGGTGTAGAGGGTTAAGCCCGTTTTACGGCACTTTGGACTTTTTTGATAAATTGGACAAATTCGACAAACATAATAACGTGTGGGATTATTCACAATTTGGAACTACCCCGACTTATGAATCGATAAAAAGCAGAAGTTCTAGTGAACCTCCATGTTCGACCCCATCGCCGAGTCAAGACATTGTAGAAATTGAGGTCTCATCCCCGACTGTTTCAAGATCTCCATCAAGCAGACGAATAAGAAGGTCAACTACAAAAACTATAGAAAGTGTTGCTGGGCCAAAAAAGAAGGTCAGGTCTAAGAGTCTTAATGAAGCAGACAGACAGTCTCAAATGGGCAGTACCAGTTCTTTGAGTATGTCTTATGCAGACCATGCAGATTACCAGTCTTACGTGTTCGAATTACTCCACTCGTCAAGAAAATCCGCAAGATTTAAAGAGCTGCACAAATTTTATTCTAGTTTAGAAAGAATGGCAGAGCTTGAGAAAACGACTTCGAGCAATGACCTCAGGCCGAGGTTGAAAGGTGAAGAAGTTATTGACTTTGATCGGTGGAAGAAATTAAGAAGTAAGGAAAGAGCAGAAGTGGAATTGACCAATTTGTACCAAAAGTTGAAAGGAGAACAGAAAGAGAAAGATCTTTTGTTTCAGCCGAGAGAAACGGTCAGGTGGCAAGGTGACAGAGGATTAAGAAACAAGGAAAAATCTGTTGAGGATTTAAGGCAAAAGTTTCAGAGAATGGTAGAAAGTAGTGAATCAGAAAAAAAAGCAGCAGACATCAGTAACAAAGACGTTTATAAACCTCTGTGGAGAGGAAACTCTGTGGCGAATTTGGCTCAGTCCCTAACTTCCATCACAGGTTCTAAAAGAGGAAGACCAGTTTTGGAAAGTAGTAAAGAAAATAGTAAACTACCCTTTAAACCAACAACTAAAACTGGAAAAGAAATCGGTAGTAGACTCTGGAGTAGTCTCTCGATGGATCAAGTAAATGCTTTGAAATGCCAGCTTTCAGAAATATACAGTACAGTATCCAATTTAAAAAAAGAAAGAATTAAAAAAATGCGACAAAACATTGAAGATTATGAAATGAACGTTGTGGATTTAAATCCTCAAGAAACTCTTCATGTTAGATCTAATTCTCTCGTAAGTCCTGATCAACTTTATTCACCAAGTGTTAAAAAGAGGGATATCAAAAGGCAGGAATGCATGAAAGCCGATTCGATCAGTGCCATCCCACAGGTGAAGTCAAAAGGGCTTTCAGAACCCGAAAAGAAAAAATTGTCAATGTCATTGAGCGCCGAGGTTAAAGAAAGGATTAAGAAAAAGAAACATGGTTCATTGGTAATCCCAAGAGAAACACTAGGAGCAGTGGCAGCTAGAAAAGGAAGTAAAAAATTTAAAACCACAAGTACTTCCGACGCTTCTCCTAGAACATGTTATTCTTTTATGTCAGACGAGTCTACAGACAAAGAGAAAAGTGCCACAAAAAATAAAGATCTAATGCTCGTTCTTACACCCAAAGAACAACAAACAGAAGTTAAGAAAATGGTTGATGACTGGGGTGGTAAAGAATACGCTAAACTGATTCAGACAACTTCTAGCAGTAGTTCAAGTGCTTCCACTGTTATTCATCTTGGATCCAGAGATGATTTTCGAACGAATGAAAGTAAATATTGTGAAATATCACAGAGCAGCAGTGATTTGAGGAATTTGGATAATTCCTCTTCTCCTCAAAACAGGGCTTTATTTCCCTCTCAGTCCCTTACTGATCTGAAAGATCTATTTGGTGAAAAACATGCTAGCAATTATGCTACTCTACCATTAAAGAATATACAGAAGCCGTTTTTTAACAGTGCTGATAGTTTATCAAAGTCTGTATCACCAGATCCCATGAAATATTACAGAGCTTACTTGAATGTTGTCAAGGCTGGAGACGTTAGAAAACTGAAGGAAAAGTTTGAAAGCTATGATGATATATATAATTTAAGAAGGGAGAGTCCTGTACCAAAAATGTTTCAAAGCGATCCTGATCTCACAAGGGATTTTTTATCAAGAAAAGGAGGAGAATTGAGCAAAGTAGTTATTAAAGGTCAAGAATTAGGAGATGTTCAGTGGCTACGGAAAAGGTACGAGCCACGGAAAGTATCGCCTATGCCTTTTCGAACTGAAGACAGGTACATGCCACACATAAACGTTATAAGCAAAACAGTAAGCTTGCAACAAAGATCTCACACACCACCTTCTAAGTCAGAAACCAGCAAAACTGGCAACGTCGAGAGACTAAAGCAACATTTCGAAAAGACCGGAATGTCTTTATTGGGTCAGATGTACACTTCGACACCTGAAATCACAGAGCTGAGAGACATAGCTCCGTATCTCGAATGCGATTGGATCGCTCATCAAAACCCGCGCTCGCCAAAACCGATAAAGAAGCCAGTGAGGAAAAGACCAGCTTCTGCCTCACCGGTACGCCAGTCAATATTAAAAAACAATGATATTTTCGCTAATCAACATTTCAACCCGGAAATCCATCGGCCTGTTTATAGATATCAACCCGAGCAAGATTTCGATGAAAAGAATTGGCAAGGAAAATCGTGGAACTTGCGGCCCACCGTCACATTCAAAGGTGCCTTCCACATTTTTTCACGATTATTGTTCACCAGCAATGTTAGTCCATTTACAATTTTAAAAAGCCCTGCACAACTTAATAATGTAAATAATTAAACACTTAATTAATATAATAATAATTGTAGTGCATAATACAGACATACATTTATATAAACAACAAAGAAAAACATAGTTCATGAACTAAGCTTCAACTTGATAAATCCAAGTGTGTAAATCATTGAAATGATTGGAGATATATCTTTTTTTAAATTATGTATCACTTTTTAATATTAATCTAATTTAAGTAATTCAAATTTTCTTTACAATTCGAGCTATAAATTACTAAATGAATAAACAAAATTAGCCCTGATTCAACATTTTTCCCCCAGTTTGCTAAGATCTTTAAAGCTATTACAAAAATAAACAACAGTAATTTGAAAGTACAAGTTCATACGACTGATTTTAATAAACAAAGTCAATTAGATGTTTAGAATAAATTCTCAATAAGTACAAAATTGGATAATTTATGAGAAAGAGCTCAAAGTAGACTTTTCATAAAACAATCCAGTAGCTGGGATGAGTTCGTGATTTCTACACAAGTGTAATTATTAATTTCTTTAATACTTTTTTATTGACTTCTATACACTTAAGGACAAAAAACTGGACACTCGTATTTTGTTGTTTATTTCAAACTTTATATTGTTATATTAATTACATCATACTTATTTTAATGTAAACCAGATTAAATGAGAGCAGAAATTCATGAATTTTAATTAAAATTATTTAATTATGATGGTTTGATAGGAAATTCACCAAAACACAGTAAAATGATTGATTGATTACAATTAACTAATATTTTATTACCTGGTTTTGCTTTCCTCTTAATAAAGCATTACCTCCTCTGACCTCACAAGTGCCTGAAGTCTCCTACACATCGAATAATTAAGTGATTGGATTTCGTTTTGTGAAACAGAATCCCATTCTTCTACAACAGCGGTTGGAAACTTTTGAATGTTGTTGGAGGCAGGGAACAGTGTCTAACTTTTTATTCCCATAAGATGATGTGTGGCACATTCATTGTGGGGTCTGTACATCCTCCAAGTAATTGGTGACAACTTGAGCTACACGTCATAGAAGTTGTTTCCAATAAATGGAGCCAATTTATTGCTCATAAGCCCTCAGCTTCCGAAAGAACTTTAATTTAATGTTCTTTAGTGGTCAAAGATCCATTCTGTATAACGGTTTGGTACGGTGTGACTCATGCATGGATGAAACAAAGCGTTCTGCTCATCTCCACACATGGTCGTGGTCACCTAATTGCCACAAATCAAACTGGTACTTATTTGTGAAGAGTTTTTATTGTTCAAGTGTACAAGCGAGATGCTTATTTGCGAACAGTTTTTACTGGATGTCTTTACGTAGTAGAGAACCTGATGCGGGATGTCTAATCTCACAAAGCCTTTTTTTTTTTTTTTGCGTTATGAACTATGCATATTAGCCATGTGACAATTCGTATATGTGTGTTCAAATTTGGGGGGGGGGTTTATTGTGAAAAAAGGGCCAGAGGCGACGGTGGGAATCGAACCCACGACCGCGGCGTGAGAGTCTCTCATGCTAACCACTCGGCTACCGCGGTCCCCTATTCTCACAAAGCCTTCAAGATGATTATTTTAGAGCTCATCCTTACATTACAGACTGTCTGGATCTGACTTCTGTTAAGGAAGCTATTAAATGACAGTTCCATAGTACCGTAAAAGCAATAAAAAAAATCACCCCTAGTGTCGTACCCCTCCCTTCTCTTCAGTCGTCTTACGGTGGCCCTAAACCGCTATAGACCATCATGGTAGAGCATGGCACACCCAAGACCTGGCAATGTGATGAACGCTACATCCGTCGTTGGCCAAAGATTCTGCCCCGACTAGATCTTGACTTAAAACCATATTTTTAAGACAAAAGAATTAATAATTAATTTTTTACTCAAATTTATTGTTTCACCAAAGAAAACAATTAAAAAACCAATTAACCCTCCCAACAATTGACTCTGGAAAGGATAAAACTGAATTGATTTTCTTTATTTTTAATCTGACTGTAAAAGGATTAGTTACATTCAATAAAGGTAAAAAAAACGAGCTATTAATGTTGCATTTGTGTTTTTTATGGCTTTATTAACTTTGTATATTAGCCAAGAAACATGATATATTGCAATGTGTTTTTTTTTGGGGGGGGGAGAAGGGCTGTGTGAAAAAAGGGCCAGGGGTGATGATGGGAATTGAACCCATAACCACGGGGTCTATGAGCCTAGAGCTCACCATTACAGCAACCTCTGCATTTGCATTTTAAGTAAACTATTAATCTTATACAAAGTGTTTATGGAAAATGAATAAATACAAGTGTTTTTTTTTGTCTTTGAGTGTAGTTAGCACACAACAACCACACCACCACCTGAGTTTACATTTCTATTAAAACCTTCTCAGCACATTTATGTTTTTGTTTATAATTGCTTGTTTTCTTGTTAGTTTTTGTTTGTTTGCTATTAGCTTTTTATTGTTTAGAACCTCTTGGCAACCCAATACCCACACCACCAAGAGACATTATACCGAGACATCGTGGCCAAGGTAAATCAAAATTCCTTCTCTGGAAAGCGAACATATTAATTTTTTCAGTTTGACTGGTTTTTATGTGATTTAAATAAACTAATCGCACACTTAACTAATACTTGCCTGGATAACTATAATCTCACATTAATTCTATCCTTAAAATATCTTAAGTGGAGGCTTTATTATAAATAAAAAGGCAAAATGATGGCTTAATACTCCAGACTGTAACTGTATGTTTATGTGTATGTTTTATATTTTTACTATTTTTTATTTATTTTGTATTCCATTCCCTGGTAAAATTTTAACTATTTTGTTGTGGTAATATTCTCAAAGGGCTCCTCCCAGCTGAAGCATCAACTTTTTTCTTGTTTTCACATTACATTTATTTAAAACAAAATAAGTAATCATATTGAGATTTCTTTCTACGCTTTTCTTTGGGTATTTGGTTGATGCTTCATGCACTGTTGGCTCTACACAATGACTGCTTTGTTCCACTCTTGGTTTTGCCTCTATCATTTGAAGAATTTGTTTTAGTCAGTTCTTGTGAACTATTGGAAATTGTTTTCCTAACTTATATTGTTCGTATATTATAAATAGAAGATTTTATGTTAATTGCAATATGTGTTTTTCTTCAGTAAATGTGCATGGGAATTTGAATTAGGCCTGAATCGGGCGTGGATATTACAGCATATGTGGGGGAGTGAGCTCATCTTTGAGGAGAGGGAGCTTATTTGCTTTAGTCTTGTTCAGATAGCCGCCGAGTGAATTTGTCAGCACAATATTTTAGCGCGTTACAGCCAAAATTCCTCAATGAACAACCGTATTATAGAATAAAAAACAATCATGAGTGTTAAAAGAAGTCTGCCTAATATTTTCAAGCAAAGTCATCAACCCTTTTTAATACCAGAGAGATCTGTCAGTTTGCCTTCTTATTTATACGGGCCTCTGCCTTATAGTAAGTTTTTTTATTTTTTCACATTCAAACTAGTAAGTTTTAAGTATTTTCCTCAATTATTTTATTGATTTAATAAGAATTTTTATTTTAATAATTTTTTAAATTAAAAAAGTTTACTCAAATTTTAACTTAAATTTTTTTAAAATAATAAAATATTAAAAGTTGTTTAATTTTGTTTGATAATACCAATTTGTCTAGATTGTTGAATAGGCAGTAAAAATGAATCATTTTGATTAACCCTTTGACATTTTGTTGGCATTTAACAAAACAGTTTAAAAGATCAACACCAAGGGCCAATTGGCCAAACTAATTATTTTATTAGTTACTGAACGTTTTCCTATTTTAAAGCTGAATTAAAATGTCAAATCCTATATATAAATATACATTAAAAAAACGTAGGGTTGAAGCCTTTCAAAGTGAAAAGTAATCTTGTTGTTTCCGATTCCGCTAATTATTTTAACAAAATCACCACAGCCTTCGTTTGTCCGTTTTAGAATCGCCTCATCGCTACATCGAATCCGAAGTGAACATACACTACAGAAGTCCGATTCGGAATGAGGCCAAGGCGGTCTGGCCCGAGGATGAACTCGCCGAAAAGCAGGCGGAGATTATGAGGAGGATATACCAAGAGCAGAGGAGGACGAAATATCTAAATGAACTACACGACATGCACAGCCGAAGGCATACTGACAATTTTATGTAAGTTAATTATAATAGAAAAAAAATGTACAAAATCCTCGGTTGTTCTGTTTTTTCAGATAAAAAAATAAATAAAAAATGAAAAAAAAGTTACTTTAAATTTTTTGTTAGTTATTATTATTATTAAATGATTATTCTTTTCTTTACTTTGGTTAAAAATTCTAAAAATCTTGGTTCCTTTTATCTTTAGTCCTTTTATAGTCATTAAACAAGCACAAAGGTTGTAAACTGTGTTATGGAATGAGCTAAGTAAATGATATGCTTTTTTATTTTTTTGGCGAGTAAGCAATGTTGTTTTTAATATTAAAATTTTGGCCAGGAGATTTAAAAAATCCAACTGAGAGTTTATAAAAAGAAATTGTTCATTTTTATATATGTACATTAAAGATATGAAGTTTGCTTATACTGATAAGAAATTTTGCAAGCATCCAAATTAGGTTTTCCAGCTTCATAATGTCAAACTGACCTAAGGCAAATGTTTTAAAAAGCCCACAGCATTACATATTGATATTGTGTAGGAAATGAGTTAATTCTTACTCAAGAAGATATCAGCAGTTCAATAATTTTTTGTTCAACAGAATTGAAAATCTAATGGAATAATAAATAACAATGCTTGGTTATTGTTTCAGTCCTTCACAAAAATCTCCAATACCGCTGAACAGGTACGATGATTTCCCGTTAGACGTACAGCCACCGAGGCCCAGGGACCGGACTCCAGAACCAAAATTAGTTGCTAGAGCCTTGTACAGTTTTCTGGGACAATCTTCAAGGTTGTTTTCTTATTTCCTGATGACATTAATTTTATAATAAACGGTTTTAATATTATTTCAGGGAGTTGACGTTTCGACGAGGCGACATCATTTACGTCCGAAGGCAAATTGATAAAAATTGGTACGAAGGCGAACATAATGCGATGATTGGCTTATTTCCCTTTAACTATGTTGAGGTAAGCTATTTTCAAAACATAATGCTTTAACAACATCCATTGTTTTATCTAATTGTTACATTTGCAATTCTTAGATAATTCCATACGACGGGATTCGAACTTTACCTAAAAAAGCGAGCGAAGGTCAAGCCAGGGCAAAGTTTAATTTCCAAGCACAAACACATCTTGAATTATCTCTAGTTAAAGGTATGTTGTAGTAATCCTTATAAAAAAACTAAAAAAAGTGTGATTATGTTCTATAATTGCTAGGTGAACTTGTGTTGCTGACTAGAAGAGTTGATGAGAATTGGTTTGAAGGGAGGATTGGTACAAGAAAAGGGATTTTTCCAGTTTCGTATGTTGAAGTCTTGGTAGAACCTGGTGAAAGAGCAAGTAAGTAACTGTTACAATTTTCACAAGCATATGTGCAACAAACGAAGTAAATGAATGATGAATAAAAAAGGCGGGTTTTAACTTTCGTAAATGTTTATTGAATTTATTTTGTGCTCATTTTATTCCTGTACTGTACAGTAAACTCCCGTCGAATTTAAGTCTTTGAGGAATTTTATTCTATCTGCATACCAGACGCTTTATAATGTTTCCTATTGTCAATGTTATGTATGAACTAATGTACATGCATATTTCAAGTTTTTCAATAAGAAAAATACAATATAGTATCTATATGTATAGGGTATCAGGCTAAAACAAGAAAAATTCAACACAATTTGGTTGTTCACTATGTTTACTGCTTCTTTTTTATGTGTTTTGCTTGATTTTTACCTTGAATTTTTTTGTGCTTTTTTTATTAGGTTAGGGAGGTTTTACTGCTTCTTTATTGTTCCTTTACTTCTTCTTTTGTCTGTGTTTAGTGTAGATATTTTGTCCATTTTTTTGCTTTGGTTGTTCGCTATGTTTACTGATTCTTTTTTATGTGTTTTGCTTGATTTTTACCTTGATTTTTTTTTATTAGGTTCGAGTTAGGTTTTACAGCTTCTTTATTGTTCCTTTACTTCTTCTTTTGTCTGTGTTTAGTATAGATATTTCGTCCAATTTTTCTGCTTTGGTTGTTTGCTGTTTTTGTATCTTTAATCTTGTATGTGTTTTCTTTCTTTTTTTAATACTTTTTTATTGGTTGGTAAATAAATTTTGCCCAGGGGAAAAAGTTGAATTATTAGATTAGCCTCACGCCTCTTTTTACTCACCATCACCACTTTTTTCCCATTTAGCATAAAATTTTTGCATTTTGGTTCGATATAATTAAAGAACAGGGTAACTACTAGAAAGTTTATTAAATGAAGTTATTAAAATTTGCCAAGCTCTACCGTGAATTTTTCCATTGTGGTTGCTAATGTTTTTTTTGTTTCTTGTTTTTTTTTTTTTTACAAATTTTAAATTTAACGGGTTTAGATAATTTAGTGTTTTTTCTCATGAAAAATGAAATTAAAAGTTCTAGAAGGGTGTCTTCTTAAAGGAAATCTAACACTCTTTTCAGTGAAGTTTTTTTATTTCCCCAAAAAAGAATAGTTGAGTAGATTTATGAGATTATGATATGAACCTAGAGTCAAAAAAGATATAAAACATTGAATATCTGCAAAAAAGTTGAGAATCAAATAAAATGTTGAATATTTACAAACAGGTTGAGAATCAAAAATGTTTTTCCCTTGTGGTTTCCACATTAGACAAGGAAAAATAGAGTATGGCACCGGCCAGGCATCCAGGGCGTTACCGACCTGCTGAAAGCAGCGAGTAGAGAGTGCAGACTTACTCATTTCTTTCCTTTTAACCATATTATTTTTTGATTTTTAATTATGAAGGTCTTTTTAGAGGTGAGGATAAAAACCATTTATTTTGAAATAATAGTGGAAAAATCCAAATCTCCAAGACCCCTGGAGCAAAATGTTCTAGAAAGCCCGTCCTCCCATACCTACGAGGCAGCAGCAACCAACCCGAATGCCTGCTCTATCGTTAAATACTTATTTCAACATCTTCACTGTTCGATTGCTCTGAAAAATCTACTAAACCAATATCAGATTCATCCAAGAGTTGGAGGACCTCCATGATGGTTTTTGATTTGTTATACAAATATTCAGCTTAAAAAGTACACAAAAATGTAAAATCAAATAAAACTAAAGCCATAGAAATATTATCATCTAACACAAAATAATAAAGATTATTATACATACTTACATGAGGCGTGAGTGATACACAATTCTGAAAACATGAGTTTTTTCTTTAACGGCTTCATGGCATCTGAGATTAAGAAAAGTAAAAAATGGCACTTGTTCCCTGTTTTTAAAAATGTAGAGAAGGAATGTAAACCACTTTGGGTGCAACTGGAACAAAAATTCAAAATAAAAATACAATAAAAAAAAAATTGAGGTCACAATACTGTGAAACGCCCGATGCAGGGTTTAATGATGAATATTTCTTCTGAGTAATGGCTCGCTTCTTTAAGGAGAAAAACATATGTATATGAACATATTTTACATGATATTGAACCATAGTGGAACACTTTTTCCTATTAAAAATGCTATGGAATTGTGCAGGTACAATATTTTGTTTGATTTGGTTATATTTCCATAATAGAAAATAATTTTTTGACCATATAAAATTAAATTGTAATTCCTAGGGTTTATGAACGTGTAGTTGGTTGTTTCTATCATTTTAAGTATGTCTAACCTTGCTCTTTTTGTCTGATAGACTAATTGGAAATGGCAAAAATCACGATATAAAAATGAATTTAATTTCAACATGTGGATGTCTTTTGTTTATTTATCTTAGTCTGCCATTACACTTGAAAAATTAATTCTAGCAGTTAAGTAAATTAAATTTTTATTATTTTAGTGAGTCCATCAGGCCCAGTTTCAACTAAACCTATAGTTGCCCCAGCATCTCACAGTGTTATGCTGAATGGTGCAAAGGACTTAGGTCAACAACATTATCAGCCACCAAGACCTTCCCTTTATAGCTCTTCATCTCTTGTGAGTATTTAAAAAATAAATTAAAAAATTGGCTTTCAAGCAAGCGAAAAATAATTTTTTAAATGATGTTTTTTAGCCGTCTCAAAATAAATACGGTGACATAAGTATGGTCAGTCAAACCCTTCATATTGACACTCAATCGGATCCTGTACCGTAAGTCAAGAAAATAATATTTTTCCCCCTTTCCCGAATTAGTTTAATTTGCGTTTTTACAGTTATCGTGTGCTTTACAATTACCGACCACAAAACGATGACGAATTAGAATTGAAAGAAGGAGACGTCGTGTATGTAATGGAAAAGTGCGACGATGGATGGTATGTCGGCTCATTGCACAGGAATGGGCAATTTGGAACTTTCCCAGGAAATTATGTGGAAAGAATACAATGAATTTTCAGGTGTACTAAATTGAGGTAATAAAATCGTTTGAAATGAAATTAAATAATGTAAAAAAAAAAAAAGTAAAAATATCTTACAGAAAAGCCTGAATTTGCCATGTGCTGTTCTCCGATGAAGACACACTTTCATCAAAGGGTTATTTTTCTATTGAGAATCAGTATTATTTCTCTGTTAATAACCACAAAATTACTTTGAAAGAGAGCGAGAAAGAGGGAGCTTTATTTTAATTACATAGTCGGAATAAAAACAGTTCTTCCAGAACACATTTATTATTTATTGTAAGATCTATTATTTCTGTACCATTTATGAAATTTCACCAAATTTATAATAACTTATTCTTTGTGAATGTTTACCATTTTACCAAATATGAAATATAATTTTGTAGAGTATGTAATAAAAATACATGTATTTAAAAAAAAAAGCTTTATTTTAGGGACGTGTTATTTATTTATTTATTTATGATTTGTTTTATGTTCTAACTTATTTCTTTCATCAATTGTAAATCACATACTCGTAACAAAAGTTATGCATTTTAATCAATTATCGTTCCAAATTATAATCCAGTTTTTATGAATTTTATTTTAAGTATTGTTGCGATTGTTGTCTAACTAATGTTAACAAAAAAAATTTTCTCATCTATTTTTATCTTTTATTTTTGTCAGGAAAGCACACATGTAGTTTATTAATATTAATGAATAGATTATTGCTATTGTAAAATGTATTAAATTATTCTTATATTTATTAAAAATTAATTTAATCACAATATTTGATTTGAATGAAGTAAGCGTAGTTGCAATGCAAAAATGTACCAGCAAACTGCAAAACTTTTGCAATTAAAAATATTCCTCATATTTAATACTCATAATTATTATGAATAATAAAAATAGTACAATCATTGTTAAACACCATTCCATGAATAGTAATAATGTCCATTTATATAGTGTTCGTTACTTTTAATTTTAAACATTTTAGTTCCTTTTAGCTCAGGATTGTCTCGTGTTGAAACTGCCTTATTATTTGTTGTTAATATGGAAATTTAATGGATTTGAAAAGCAAAGGAGCAATTTGCAGCCATTTTACATAGAGAATTTTATGTTACACCGTAATCGTACTTTATTGCACTGTTTTTAATGAACCAGTTTTTTAATAATTCTAAAGGAACTAAACTTAATGAATTGTTTTGAGGCCTAACTCTAGATTTATAATAGCAAATTTAGGATCTAGTCATTTGTTAGCCAAAAATAAAGATGATGCAAAACTAAAGTGTTTCATTAAGTATTTTCACCTCTGTCCTGCAAAAAAAATGTTCAGAATTGAAGCAAAATAGAAAGTTGAAAACAAAAAATGAAAAGTAAAATAGAAGACAAGATGTATGAAAACATAGTGAAAAATGAAATATTAAATAATGAAACATAAATAATACAGGGTGTCCCAGTTCCTTCTGACGAAACTCAAGGAATCGATTCTACTCTTCGTTTGGAGCAAAAATGTTCAGGAGAAAATTTTCAGAAAGTTCTCTATTTTGAAGATATTCGTCAATTTAGGTTTTTTCAATTTTTCACTACCTTACCACATAAAACTGCTTACAACTTCCAAAATAGGGGCGTCGGTGGCAGCAATGGATTAGGCGTTGACACGGCGCTCATCACTGTAAAGTGAAGGTCCCGGGTTCGAATCCAGCGGCCCTGCATTCGAACTCGACATACTTACAAATGGCCTTTTTTTCAAAAACACCGGCACCCTGAGGGTTTATATGACCTCTGCTGTTGTGAACCCTCGTAAAAAAAAAAAAAAATTTTGGTCATGATTGCACGTTCTACTGAGGTTAAAATACCTACAACTTGTCAAATTTTACAAAAACTTCGTCTAATTTGCTTTACGTTGATATATCAAGGTTTTTAAATAATGTTCTAGAAGAGTTGAAAAATAACAATTGAATGTTCGAAAACGTGAGCTAAGGTAAATTTGAAGGGGGGTAGAAATAAATCAATTAGAACTCGCTTTGTAAAATATAAATGACACAAAAATCATACTAGAAAGCTTCATACAATAAAATGCAATGGTTCTTCTTGTAGCAAGCACCTAACAACAAAGGAGGAACTTTTCAGAGGAAATGCTCAAAGTGTTTTCCCTCTTCTTGAATGCATAACTGACTTTCGGGATTTCTACCCCTCCCCTTGAAATTTACCTTAGCTCACGTTTTCGAACATTCAATTGTTATTTTTCAACTCTACTAGAATGTTATTTAAAAACCTGGATATATTAACGAAAAGCATATTAGATGAAGAAGTTTTTGTGAAATTTGACAAGTTTAGGTAATTTTTTGTAACCTCAGTAGAACGTGAAAACATAACCAAAATTTTAAATTTTGTAATTTTGACATGTTCCAACTGATATTGGCTAACATTTTATGTCATTCAGATTATTGCAAAGAAGTATCTTATAGCAAATTTAGCGTTCTTTCAAATGGTGTAATTGGATTTGTTGTAGTCTCAACATTTTGGAAGTTGCAAGCGTTTTTTTGTGGTAAGGTAGTGGAAAAGTTGAAAAAAACCTAAATTGACAAATATCTTCAAAATAGAGAAATTTCCGAAAATTTTCTCCTGAGCATTTTTTGTTCCAAACGAAGAGTAGAGTCGATTCCCTGAGTTTCGTCAGAAGGAACTGGGACACCCAGTATACAGTACTCTCGTTGCAAATATACAAGAACTATGGATGAAAGGTAACACCTCAAATTTCAGGCTTCAATGCGTTTTATTCCATCTCCATACAATAAAAAAGTAGTCAATTTGATACAGCCAAAAAATTAATCAGAATTTTTCCTTTTGTTATGACAAATTATAATTTCAGTTTTCCTCCAGTAATTTATGTCATCCTCCAGTTAAATTAACCACACACGGATTAATAACTTATTGCAATAGACGACACTCCTCCCTGTACGCCCAATGGATTTAAAACTATTAATTTCAACTACAGTAAGGGGAAAATGGAAGAACCATTAGACTCATAAAAATAGGAATGACTGCCAAACGGTGGCGTGTTAAGAAAGACGTCAGTCCCTGATCTAACTCCTGATCCTATCTGGTTGAAAAGGGAAAAGGCCATACTGACAAGACTGTGCATAGGTCAAGCAAAATAACTCATGGGCACATCTGGTAGGAAAAAAATAATGGTTGAGCACATTTTTAATTGTAGAAGGCTTGATGTTTATAAGCAATATTTGATATATGTCAGACTTGTGCCAGTCTTGCACAGGCAGATTGCTGTTCTGGTACTTCAGGGTATAGGGATTTTTAAATGTGTGTAATGTTTGTTTTGTGTTTATGTTAATTTATTAGAATGAATGTAATTTATTAGCATGAAAGGAAGGGTGTTTTTTAACCCCCTAATATCGAGTACTCGGGAAGTAACTGTGACTTAGTCTTCTATGTTTGTGTTGTTGTACATAACATTCTACGGTACAAACGAGAGACTAGCATTTTAGGATATCAAAAGCAAAGCGTCAGTAACAGATCGATACCATCAAATGGCTGCAGTTTGAAAAATACTTGTGAAAGACCATAAAAAGAAGTGAAAATATCGGCTGTTGTTGGCCTCTAAACTTCCCATATTATTATTAATTTTTAAGGATGTTTTAACAGCTAATTAGCAATATACCTTCTGAATGCTATAAAGCTCTGACTCCAAACATTCACTCATAAACTTATCAATCCTATTGCCATCGAAAGCTTTAATTTATCCTTTTAAAATTCTTAATTTGGAAGGCCAAATGTATGCGAATATCCCATTTTAAATTATAAAATTTATTCCTGTTCTTTAATTAGAATTTTTGTTCCATAATTTAAATATTCCCCCATAGGCTTGTATGGTCAAACATAATAATGGAATAAACGGGGAGTAGAAATGGGAAGTTTGTGGCATGGGCGATCGAAATCATGGTAGCTCAAGTGGTAGAGCAGCGGCGTATTTGGCAGAAAGTCGTGGGTTCGAATCATCAATTTCATTTCGAAAAAAAATTGTGTATAATTAACCCTCCATTGGGCGCACCTCTGAATGAAACAAAACCAAGCGCCTGAGAGGCCACCTATCTGTTACCCTCCCCCTTCCCCTCTAATCAATTTAATCCAAAACACCGTTTACGGAAATCAAATACACCAAATTGGATGGAAACAAACGAGTTTATTGAATATGATGAAGCTTAAACTAAAACAACCAAAATTGCAAATTTTGTACAAGTTTTCAAAAATTAATAAAACCAAGTATCATAATATTAAAAAATATTGGAAAAAATGTAGTATACAGTCTGATGTGGCGCAACCATTCTTTGCCGCTGTAGCGGGTAGAAACCTACGGTGAATCTTCGAAATCTGCAGCTGAATAACAGGCTTGGCACAGTGGATTTACGTGGCTAAGGCTAAGGTTGATGACAATTTTTACATTCATAATTTGTCATCCTTCTAAATCCTGTTTCAGCCATGCACATTTGCGTCTTTTTGGAGGTATGGTGGTAATATTTTCAGGTTTTTCTTGTGGTAAAAACCTTTTCAAGCGGAATTGTAGGTGAGTCGGCATTCCCCTTGTATTTAGACTTCGTTGGGCTAGTTGTCCAATCGTAAGTTGATGAGACAAAGTTTTAAGGAAGATTCTCCTTTTTAGCGGTTCCAGTTTATTCGCAATCGAAATCACTTGAGAATTTATGCCGGCTACGTTCAGACAGGCAAAGAAGATGACCATCAGCCAGCATCTTGTGTTCCAGCTCACACTGAACGTTGCACACATTTGATCAGTAGTGTCAACTCCACCTTTGGTGGTATTGTAAAACGTAATCACTTCTGGCTTTTGCTGCTCTCTGGTATTTTGATCAATGGCATTAGTTTCATGGAGTGATGAAACGAGAATCACATTTTTCCCTTTCTTTGGAATGTATGAAACCAAAGTGTTACCGTTGTTGAAGCGGAACAAGCTGCTGTGTTGAGATATTGACAAAATTGTCTGGTATCTGTCTTTTATTTTTTTTAATTGTGCCAACATAAGAAAGCCTCTTTTTTTCAAATCATTAACGAGATCTATGTCTGTGAACCAATTATCAGTGGTTATGTTGCGCCCTGTCTCAAAAAGGGGTTCGGCGATTCGTTTCACCACTTCTCTTGGCTTGTTGCTGACCAAAAATGGCCCTTCAGGCTGTTTTCCTGTGCATATCTCCATGTTGCAGGTGTATATCATTTTGGCATCAACAAGGGCAAATACCTTTATACCATATTTGTTTGGTTTGGAGGGAATGTATTGCCTGAATGCACACCTCCCACGGAACCCTGGCAGCATCTCATCAATTGTAACATTTTCTCCGAGGAGGTAGTTTTTTTTGGCAGTTTTGAACAAAACAATCGAACATTTCACGAATTGGGCAAAGTCGATCATATTCTTTCCGTTGTGCTCGGCTCGTACGATCGTCAAAACGAATACAATGTATGAGGAACTTGAATCTTTTTATGCTCATCACCAGGTCAAATTTCTCAACCCATCTTCTTCTGTGCCCTATAGCTCCTCCAGACTGATGATTTCTTCTGTATGCTCCAGCAAGGTATAATAAACCAATGAATGCCTTGATTTTAATGATGTCTGTTTCCTTGGCATCCCTCTCTCTGGCAAATTTGGATTTGACTGAATCTATCAGATCATCACATATATTGGTATATTTTACAATCAATTCCAAAATTTCTGTAGTGAACAAACATTCCCAACTTACAACATTCCCATATTGTTTTTGCATTTCTAGCATCTCCCTTTACCCCTGGAAGGTGTGTAACGATATTGTGACGTTGTACCTGACGAAAAGAAGCTGGAGATGGCTTCTTGGTTCACTTTGTCTGCTTATCTTTTCCAAGAAAAAAATCATCTTCCACCTTCTCAGATGTCCCTTCATCTTCTTGTTCCGTTTCTGAGTCCTTGTCACACTTACTCTACTTCATTCAATCTATATCGCTTTTGTCGCCAAAATCCTCAACCAGCGCTGGATCATCGGAAGCATCATCATCGAGGAGTTTCCTAATTTCAGCAACATCATTAGGGTTGAAAAAATCATACATTTTTTTGTCCATTTCAGCAGGATATCTCGAATAAAAGTCAGGAAAACTGAATTGAAAAGTAAAATGAACAATTACAACAAAAATATTGTGAAAAACTTATCTTTTAATTTATGACGCAGTCGGCTCAACAATCCAGGATGGGTCTAGGCTAGCAGAGTGAAGGTTGACGACAGAATGAATTAGGGATTCCTATGCACCACCCTTAAATAGGAAATTACTAGGAGGGGCCGCCAGGTAAAAGAATGGCAGGCAAACAGGTGTTAAGCTGCGCCCAACAGAGGGTTAATTGAGTAATTATAATAATAATAATGGAGTTAGACTAGCAACAGTCTCAGCATGAGTAAAGGCTCATCATTATCCTTTTATTCTTCCAATCAAATATGATTACTAAACTAATGCTACTTAACAATAATAAGAAACAAACAATAACACTTCTTTTTATCCTCTTTTTTAGGAGGATCTTTCTTATTTAAATTGCGATTTTGAGCATTGTAGTTTATTACCCCGCTATTTTGTTTTCTTCTATTTCATTTTTCCGCTCCGGCAGCCTCAAAAATTTGTGAAAAAAGAAACAAATCTTGCATGCACAATTCTCATTCAAACACTAGCAGACAAACATTCAATGGTATACAAATTTGGGAAAAGGCCTAAATAAATTTGAGAAAGCTGAAAAGTGCTCCTCGAAACAAACACTGGGGGCCCAGTAACTCCTGTGAATCACTCGAAAGATTGAGCCTTTGCCTAAAGGTTGCAAAGTGCGACAGTCGACCAAAATATGTTTCACGGTCAGATACGTTCTCCACATACATCGTGGACAAGTTGAAGGTTGTTGCCTATTAAAAGCCTATTACAGATTAGCCTGATGTGACATTTGCAATCTAGAGAGAATTATAAGTTCTTTTCTCTCAAGTTCCTCAGTTGGCAATTTATGTACGACTGGTTTAATTTCTTTCAAACTATCTCTAAGACATTTCATCTTGCCGCCCACTTTCATTTGATAACGTTTTTAACATAAACGACTATATCATCTGGGCGGAGAGGAAATTGATCTGTTCTTTGGGATGGTTTGCAGTTTTCCTTGCCTATTGATCAGCTTTTTCATTTCTAAAAATGTCAACTGTGACTAGGAACCCATGTTGTTAAGTGTTTTGATTTCATAGAGGTATTTGTGAATTTCAAGATGTATGGGTCAACCGAGAAATTATTTTTGATGGCTTCAAAACCACTCTTCGAATCAGTGCAAATAGTAATGGCATTACAAATTCCTTTGCTATTCCTTTATAATGCTCAATGATCTTCTGATTGCATGAAGTTTGGCTATGTATATGCTAGCCACAATCGAGAGACTAGCTGAGGTAGTATCCCACACCCTACACCAATTTCATTTTTGGACCCATCGGTATAAAAAAAAAACTTTTATTGGGTTAGCTATTTAAAATTTTGCCCCATTAGAGAAGGTGGTTCTCTTTTGCTCAATAAGGCAAGATCTTCGATAATTATGGCAGTAGGTAATGACTACGGTGGAATATCTAGTAATTTAAACCTTCGACCATCAGATATTCCCTCCTAATCTCATTATTGTGATACATGGGATAAATGTAATTGTGTAGTTTTTGCTTAGTTTTGTAATTTATTGTTGTCCGCCTGTTACATCCAATTTGACTAATAAGTATTTAGGTAGAGAGAAACGACATGGTAATTGATATTGATAACTTTTATTTTCTCAGTCTTCATTTTTCAATCATTATGATATGATATGGCAATTAAAAAAAACTTCTATTACTAGTACACCATTAGTTTATAAAATCTCCTAATTTTTTCTTTAACTTTCATAGAAAATTCACTCAGAAGAAAATCGCTCTTCCCATGATTTGTTATTTAAATAAATCTTCTTCAAAGTAAATATCAAATGATATAAAAACATGAAGTTATTACAATATAAATTATTTTTTAAAATACATTTAAACACCAAACTTATGAAATTTACAGTCCTTTTTTTTTTTTTTTTTTGGAATTATGTTTACACTTTTGAATTTTCCTTTGTTAAGTACTCATTCATTTGTACAAATGCAATGATCATATGGACATTTTAATAAATAAATACACCAGGAAACTCAATTATTTACAATTAATTATTTTACAATATATTATGTATATTAACTAAAGATCAAATTATAATTTGTTTAGGTACACTTATATTTAAAAAATCATATCGCTAACCTAATAGGACAATAATGTTAGTTTTTAAAATAATTATATTTAAAAAAAAAGTTAACCAATATATTTTGAAACTAATTAGTCCCTGGGAAATTAACATTCCATTAGTGGGTGTGTCATGGAGTAAACATTATAAAAAAAACTAATTGTAAATCTCATTGGGGACTCAAAAATGCATTAATTATAAAATGGATTGTCGCAAAATAACATGTTGGAATTTATCGATACCTCCTCATATGTTTCATTCAAGTCAATAATTAAAACAAATAATTTAGAAATTGTTGCAGACATTGTGTTCACAAAATTGTGTGTTGAATCAATAATAGATATTAACCTCCAGCTAAGATAGAAAAAAATAGTGTAGGTAGTACCCAAATTTTTTAAATTATTAAAATGATTGTCAGAGCTAGAGGCCAATAAATATTGAAAATTGATATAATTGGTTTTTCACAATGAGAATCGTTAGGCACAGACAATTTATATTTGAGAGGCAGTTTGGAAGAAACTGAAACATATTTGGAACGTACTAACACCCACTTGGACGGCTGTGGATCTTTTATTATTATTAGTATCAAGTAAAAAATAAATGATATTAAAAACATGAGCTGTTGTATATTATATATCACATGGAAACTGGAATAACCCCAGTTCATCATGATTATAGATCACGAATTTAATAAAATAGTAGTAAAATGTTCTTGTTTGGAATGTCGGAGTCTGAGAAACGAAAATATACCGAAGAATACTCTTCAATGATTAGAAAAAAAGTGAAATTCTGGATGTCATCAAGTAGTCAAATGAGTAAAACTATTTACAATACACAGTTTCAATTATAAAAAAGTAACTTATAAAAATATCATTATCATAACAATATTTAATGAATACAACAATGTCCTTATTAGATTAAATTAGCTTTTTCTCTCTACTTGACACCATAGTTTAAATGCAACAAATTATAGTAAAAAGAAATATTTGTATTTCAATTATAAATATACACGCTGTTGATGTAAGGTGTATACTAGCTGCCAACCCGTTCAATTTGTCTGTACTTTTTTCTGAGGTTAGATACAGGATCCTTGAACAAGACAGGATCCATTCTAGTATTGCTTCTTAAGAGCGGCATATATCCAAAAACAGCTGCAAACGTGTTCAAACATGTCTGCCTTTGAATAAAATGATCCGGGTCGTTCCATGGTGATCTGAAAGTACAAACGTTATTGATTCTTCGGGTCTAGAAAATAAATTTATTCAAAAGTAAACCTGGAAGTCCCGGTTGTCGGAGGGGAATCCTTATATTGCTTCCTTTGTGTGACTTTGATAGGAGGCCGTCTGGTAACATGGCTGACAAGAAAATTCATTAGGATGTCTTCACAGTTGTGCGATTGCTCCACTGTCTTAAGGAGAAGAGGGCTTAACCAATCTGTGTAAAGATGGTTGAAGTATCTGTGGTAAAAAGCTGCTCCGGTGAGCACGATGGAATAGTCGTTTGTCCATTTTGATGTATAGCCCCATGAACCCTGTATATAAATTAATAAAATTAAATCCATATAATGTATGTACAGTCGACTCTTTATAATTTGAAACCCAAGGGACCACAAAAATAATTCAAATTATCACGATGTTCAAATTATCAAACGGAAAGAAAATCTAAGAGCATTTTTACAAGTCATCGTTAAAATAATGAAAAAGTGGAAATAGATCAGCTGCAAAATTGACTATTGTTACATATTATATAAAAAAATTTGTGAAGCGGTTGTGTTTGTATAAGGATTGCAATTCTTTTCAAGTGTTCACGACCACAGTACTAGAGGTGTGTCACAACAGATTAAAGGTAACAAAACATTAAATATCAGTATTCAACAAATCATTTAAAGTTGAAACAATACATAATTTTAATAATTTAAATGCACATTTAAATAAAGAACAAGAAAACTAAAAAGAAAATAGGGTGCATTAGAAAAAAAAATTATTGACTACTTGGTAAATAACTTCCTATTGAATATATAAATACGAGTATAATGACGCATTTGATGCACTCTAAATGGACTGATTATTTATTTATTCTTCTTATTGTATTATTTATTGCTTTAATGAAATTTAGGGATTCACACTCTTTAAAATTTCATTTGTTATTTATTTAGTAAATTGTACATAAAATTTTGTAAAAATACATAATATAGAATTATACATAAGAAATATATATGTAAAAAATAATATAAATAATGTGATGCAGTTTAGTTTTTCTGATATTCTCTCTCTCTCTCTCTCCTCTCCTTTTCTACCAACCTCCTGTTTTTGTTAAATTAAAATAAAGAGATTTCAATTTACAATAAAAATTGTCAACGTTATATAAATTAAAAAAAAAAAAAAAAAAATCAAACAAGCGTTCTTCCAGTTCATCTTCATCAATTTTTTTTTGCCATCGAGATAAGATATATATTTTCTGGATTTTGTTCCCAGAAAACCAAGCTTAACGTCTTTTTTTTGACAATTTCGTCACAGAATTTAACTCGAAGCTGATTACGAATAAAGTGCATAAATGTTAAAATTTTGAATGACATGTTGATTTTTTTTAATTTGAAGGTAGTTGTACGTAATGAAATAATATCCAACAGTATACCTACAACAATATGTGGTATTCATGAATTTGATAAATTGTTGAACAGTAGATTGTATTTGTAAGATTTCTTTACATTTATTGTTTTTATTGTTCATTAAATTAAAAATAAATATGTAATAAATTGTAATAACAATTTTATCGTTTTTCACACAGAGGTCTATCCTCTTTGCCCTAAATTTATGCTATCATAAGCTTTACATTTCGTTGCAAAAGTTATTTCCAAGACACATATCCAAAACAATGCAACTTTCTTGTTTGGCGTCGGCTGACTTGTCACTGTCCCGAAATTAGAAGCCTTTCTGTCCTACTAATCCACATGATATTACAAAAATCAATTTTATGTAGCAGCGGAACAACTGTTTCCTACATATTTCCAAAAAAATGGATAAATAAAAAAAGGTATTTTAATCGATCGAGTTAGAAAGGATCAATCAGGGTGATTGGGTAAAAACTCAATCCCAATAAGTACACTACTTCTCTTAATTGTATCATATTTTTAAAAATTGATTGTTAATCGCTGTTTATAAAGTTATATTGTTTAGGTAGCAATTTTCCCTCCACCGATATGGAAAACTGGCAGTGAAGAAAATTTCAGGTGTCATCTGTTGATGATCCATTTGGTTTGAGCTCTTCATCAGAGATGGCGATGTCAAGATGAAATACCCAGATAAAATATTTGAAATTGCTTCGGATTACCGAGAAAAAATTATTTACAAGTTTATTTATTATAAATAGACTGTAAAATAGATTATAACGACGACTAAATGAAGGGGTTACAATTTTGAGGATCGTTCTATGAAAATGGATTTTAATGTTTGTGATTGGTTGTAAAGGGTTTATTATGCCTTCACTAGTTTGAAAAGTTATTTTAAAAAAGCGTGAATAGACGGACCAAAGATGTTTAGTTTGGACAAAACCATTTTATTATTTAAGGGCGAATTTTTTATCCGTTTACGAAAACGGCGCTCGGACATACTAAACCTGCAACGCCGTCAGGTTCGGCGAAACTGTATCGCAAATATTACAGGGGCTAACAACGAGTCGTGATCAGAAAATTTATATTTAAATTATTTTAAATTATTCCGAAGGGTATGTTAAAATTTTAATTTATGACTCGTTGCCCAGGTTTTATAAACTTTTGTCATTTTATGAATTTTGATATTAAAAATTCCTTCAGTTGTTATTTCTTGCATTTTGTCTGTGTAATTTCGCATTAACTTATCAAATGCCAGGCAGATTTTGATCAGTCTGCCACAAAGATATGAGTGCAAATAAAAATACAGCCATCAACGTTTGCTGACAATATAAAAGCAGGATGTGAATCTGTTACTGGTTAACTTTCATAGGGCATTTCTGGTGTTGAAGTGTCCGAAAAATCTCAAAACTTTCATATTCATCCTTTCCTCTTTTGAACGGCGCTCAGACATACTAAACGTGCAACACATTCAGGTTCAGCGAAACTGTATCGCAATTATTTCAGGAGCGAACGAAGAGTCGTGATCAGAAAATTTATATTAAAATCATTTTAAATTATTTTGAGGGAATTTGTTACTGGTTAACTTTCATTGGGCATTTCTGGTTTTGGAAAATTTGTATAAAAATTATTTTAAATTATTCTGAGGGACATGCAAAAATTTTAATCTATGACATATTGCCCAGGTTTTTTAAACTTTTGTCATTTTATGAATTTTGATATTAAAAATTCCTTCAGTTATTATTTATGGCATTTTGTCTGTGTAATTTCGCACTTATCAAATACCAGGCAGATTTTGATCAGTCTGCCACAAAGATATGAATGCAAGCAGGATGTGAATCTGTTACTGGTTAACTTTCCTTGGGTATTTCTGGTGTTGAAGGGTCCGAAAAATCTCAAGATCCTATTTTTCCTCTCCCCTTTTGAATAGAGGGCCGATAAATGGAATGTAAAATAGATTACGACAAACAAATGAGTTATAATACTGAGGATCTTTCTAGGAAAACGTCATTTTAATGTTTGGGATTGATAGTAAAGGATACATTATACACCTTCACTAGTTTGAAAACTAAATAAAAAAAAGCGAGGATAGACGGACCAGCGATTTTAGTATGGACAAAACCATTTGGTTAATTATGGGTGAAGTTGTAATCCGTTTACGAAAAAGACGCCCGGATATACTAAACCTTCAACACTGTCAGGTTCGGCAAAACTGTATCGCAATTATCTGAGGCGGGAACGAAGGGTAAATCATTTTAAATTATTTTTGTGGGACATGTAAAAATTTTAAATTATGTCATATTGCCCTGGTTTTTTAAACTTTTGTCATTTTATGAAATTTGATTTTAAAATGTCTTTCAATTGTTGTTTCTTGCATTTTGTCTGTGTAATTTCAGGCAGATTTTGATCACAGTCTGCCACAAAGATATGCGTGCAAATAGAAATACAGCCATCAACGTTTGCTGACGATGTAAAAGCAGGATGTGATTCTGTTACTGGTGAACTTTCATTGGGCATTTCTGGTGTTCAAGTGTTCGAAAAATCTCAAAACTTTCCTTTTCATCCTTTCCCCTTTTGAACGGCGCTCGGACATACTAACCAGCAACACATTCAGGTTCGGCGAAACTGTATCGGACTTTTCTGAGGCGCGAACGAAGAGTCGTGATCAGAAAATTTATATTAAAATCATTTTAAATTATTTTGAGGGACATGCAACAATTTTAATTTATGAGATATTGCCAGTTTTTTAAACTTTTGTCATTTCATGTATTTTGATTATAAAAAATTCCTTCAGTTGTTGTTTAATGCGTTTTGTTCGTGCAATTTCACAATAACTTATTAAATGTCGGGCAGGTTTTGATTATAGTCTGCCACAAAGATATTCGTGCAAAGAGAAATACATTCATCAACGTTTGCTGACGATGTAAGAGCAGGATTTGAATCTGTTAGTGGATAACTTTAATCGGGCATTTCCAGTGTTGAAGCGTCCGAAAAATCTCAAGATTTTTTTTCTTCCTTTCTCCTTTAGAAGAGAAACTCTGGAATAAAAAGGACAAAAATGGTAACGATCTGTCGTCTGTGTGTTTCCAATAACCTTCTCGCAAATTGGATATTTTGTTTTGTTAAATTTATTGAGACTGATGTCAATATCTTATTCAAAATGAACCTTCTTCTGGGTAGTTTATGTTCCCTTTATAAATTCCTTCAGTTTCGTTTTTATTTTCTAAAGTTGTAAAATATTTGGGAATACGTATATACTAAACTTACCTTAGCATCATCCCAATAGTGTGACCTAGCAGGATAACCGACTATACGCTCAGGAAAATGTTTCCATACTTGGAAAGCAAAGTCTATTTCATCGGTTGTAAGAAGTGCGTCTTCATCCAATGAAAGTATGGCACTGGTGCGAATGAGCGGATGAGGTGAAAACCTCTGAGATATGCCCGGTTGATGAATTATATGAAGTGGCATTGACATAACCGGCCATCTAACACGGGCGGGCGTGCTTTTTTCATTTGCCCAAATCACAACCACCTGAAAAAAAAAAATTAAGTAAAAGCATAAAACGAGTAGATTTCAAATAAAAATATTTACCATGGCAGTATAGTTGCTTTTTGATATAGCTTTAACAATTTTATACAAAGGAGATACCACCGTCAGCGGTGCTCCTAATTGAGCATAGACAACTGCTGTAAACTGCTGTTCCTGGGACATGGCCTGGTCCCAAGGATAAGGACCGTTGTACTGAGGAAGAGACACCAATGCTCCTGGAGCTGAATTCCAAATTCTTCCATCTCTCTGGGCCTGGCCTGGCAAACGCTCTCTCAATATCTGAAACAAGCATGAACAATGATGAACTATCCAAAATAATTAAAAGTTTTTTTTGTCAAAGGTTTAAAATATGACAAATTACCTCGAGAGTGGTGAACACAATTTTTTCAATGGATGAGAAATATTTGTCCCAAAGTATTTGAGTTTGCTGTCGCAGAGCGAACAGTTTTGTCGCTGAAATTGACCTTACGATTTCCGGCACCTGTAAAATTCAAATTTCGATGTACTTTCTTTTTAAATACTGGCTAATAATGGTAAACATTTTAAAAATTAACAAGCCATCATGGGGAAACATTATCTATTTGAAAAAAACGTCCTACAATAAGCTTTGATGTATTAAGGGTACGCAGATGGCATAGTCATAACAAGAAGAAGCAAATACGACGAGACTCTAGTCAAACTATTGTAAACATCATTAAATAGAACGCTGAAATGGTTCTATTAAAACAGCCCAAAAGGCTTTTCTCTCCAAGGCAACAATAGTACCATTCACCAGGTTAAAAGCTAAATCTTATAACTTTTCACTTACAAAACCAACAAATAAAAAGTTCCCAAGAGGTAATCGTTAACTAAATTTAGAATGTACACCTTAAGAGAATACATGACAGAGCACTAAAGACACAAGGATATGCCAAAAAGCCTGTGGTAGAACTGGGGATAAATACTAAGTCAAAGAATCCATCCTTTTGCCATTTTTCAAATGTCGTGTAATCGGTTTGGAGAGCTTTAGTGAAGTGTACTTCATTTTAATTCATTAAATTCACTATTTTCGTGGTCCGCTTGACCAATTAAATCATTACAATTAATTAAGGTTTTTAGTTGAGATGAAAAACAATTGAAAAATGGCAAAAAGGAGGGAAAACCCATAAGGTGGGGTTGAGATGGGGAGTTGATGTCCGAGTGGATTGAGGTCACGATAGCTCAGGTGGTAGAGCAGCGGCGTATCTAGCCGAAGGTCGTGGGTTCGAATCCCTCTCGTGCCATTAACTTTTTCTCATCTCAACTAAAAACCTTAATTAATTGTAAACTATACGGCAAAATTGTTTAAAAACATTGGTTGGGAAAAATTATTATAAGTGTAATTCAAATTGAGGTAATAATATTGCGATATTAATAATTTACAATGACAACAGTTTCAACTACAACTACTTGTAAGGAAGTACAAGTACAAGTTTATGTACAAGTAATTGTACTCAGGAACACACAAGTACAGGTATACACTTGTAATTGTATTCAATGTTCACAAGTACAAACAGAAGTACTTGTACTTGTACTACCAGTGTCAAGTATTTTACTTGTACTTGTTCTCGCTGGAAGTCAAATTGCAAGTACGTGTAAAAGTACTTGTACTTGCAATTACTTTTGAAGAACTTGAGACTTTTAAATAACTTCGTTGTCCCGCCCTTTCGTTCACTGATATTCCTGAAATAATACATTCACACATTTACTCAAATACTTGAAGGAAGTACTTAAGTACAATTGTACTTAGCTTTTCACAACTCTGCTACTAGCTGTTTATAAAAGGTCTGGCACACTTGCGCGGAGTTTGCCACAAAAGCAGGTGTGGGTGTGTCAATCGGGTATGGCCTATCCTCAGACGGATGAGCACGATTCCTTTCGTTTCAGATTCCTGATAGTGGTTAAGTTGGCACGCAAGAGCTTCTCGGACAGAATCGGCTTTATTATCGTATTGTATATCAATCGTTTGTTGTGAAGCGTCAGTTTCGATCGTTTGTCTAATAATCGTGAGAGTGTTCTCGTCTAGTTCTGCTTTTTTAGTCTTGTATGCGGATTTCAAGTTAGTCTTTTATCAAAGTACAGCCCAAAGTCAATTAATTAACGATTTTAATTGAGGGAAAATTCAAATGGTGGGGTTGACATGGGCAGTTAGTGCCCGAGTGGATCGAGGTCACGATAGCTCAAGTGGTAGAGTAGAGGCGTATCAAGCCGAAGGTCGTGGGTTCGAATCCCGTTCGTGACACTGACTTTTTATCTCAAATAAAAACCTTAATTAATTAAAAGTTTAACTATAGGTTGCACGTAAAATAATAAATCTTATTTGTACACTCGATTTACTATGATTATGACCCATTGATGCAATAATTTACATAAGTTGAATGTTCACCTTTTCCATCTTCGACTTGGCTATCTCCTCTGTTCAGCGAAACGCCATAATGTAGCCTGTCTGATTATTAGGTTTTCATATATATCACCAGCAAAGATGCCTAGGGGTCCCATGAGCCTGAAAACGTGTAGCAGGGAAGTGCCAATGCGAAAAAGCTATTAAGATAAGCGACGCAGTACGATTACTCAAGCATGAGACAATAACTGAAATATTTACGCCCCAGAGGACTTGGAACAAAGTGATTACCATGTTAAAGACCAATTTGAACTTTTCGCTAACTTAAATTGCACGAGTGGCTATATACTATAAAGTTGCCTTGATCAGAAAAATATTAGTTTAACCATCAAACGACAAAAATAAAAAAAAATACTTCTAACGTTTTTTGTTTGGTCTATTGAACTGTAATTTTATTAAGTCCAAGGTGTGTTTTTACTTTAAACTGACATATTTAACAATATTCTCCATAATTAAACAAATGATAAATCAATTTTTCTAATATAAAACTTTTAAAAATGTAAATAACATTATTTTTTATCTAAATGAAAAAGATGTAATAAGATGAACTCAACTGACCCCCGGTTTGTTACCTAGCGGGAGGAAACTAAGACAATGTAAGAGGATCCGTTTGGAATCCGAGGTAGGCCCTTTGGCAACTATGGTGACAAATTAAGCTAATTAGAACAGTACCTGAGTAGGGAGTCGCAAAACGACAAATTTCAAAATTAATTCTATGCAGGAATTTCAATTTAGCCGCCAGCGTGACGAAGAAGGATTTTAATTAATATGTATTGTGTGTTTTTTTTAACAGGGAAATTGCATTGAAAGCTTTGTGCGGACTGAACCTTAAACTTTTCGGGGGAAACTTTTACAGGAAAAAGTACAGGGTTTTAAACAATTAGGAAAAAAAAGGTAATTTTTAATTAATTAATTTAATTTTAAGGTAATTTTTTTTAAATTTGACTAAATCTATTTGTTTAATAGACAATATATACGAAACAAGGAAGTACGTTCAAACGTTAAAAACAAAGATTAAAAAAACGCAAAAACCAACAGAACGAAATAAAAAACTTTCAAAACGTCTGAATATAAGAAACAAAATAATATATTGAAAAAAAGTTACATGGAGCAAATTCATCTTTTCTAAATAATATCTCTATGAACAAAAATACAGCATTGGGATTTTTTAAAAGAAAGAGGGAAAGACAAAAATTAATGGAAAAACAAGAACAAAAGAAAAGACGATCAAGGATAGAAAGTTAAAAAATATAAAAAGCAACGAAAGATTGGAAAAAGAAGAAATGTGAGAAAGAAATGAGGAAAGATAGAAGATAAAGAGAAAAAGAGAAAGTGGAAAAGAAAGAATTAAAGAATAGCAAATAGAAAAAACAAAAAAAAAACGAAAGAAAACGAGAAGGATAGAAGAGAAAAGCAAGAAAGAAAAGAAAAAGGAAAGAAATATAGAAAGATAGAAGAGGAATGAAGCAAGATAGGAAAGAAAAAAGAAATAATTAGGAAAAGATAGAATACAAAAAACAAGATAGAAATGAAAAATCAAAAGAAATCGAGAAAAACAGAAGATAAAGAAAAAACAAAAGAAAAGAAAAAATAAAGAAATGAATAAAGACCGCTAATAAAAATTGAGGAAATGGTGATATAAATTAAAAACAAAGAAATAGGAAAAGATAGAAGAGAAAAGAAAAGAAAAACATAACAGGAAAAATAAAGAAATGAATAAAGAACGCTAACTAATTGAGGAAATGATGATAGAAATTAAAAACAAAGAAACAGGGAAAAATAGAAGAGGAATGAAGCAAGATGGGAAAGAAAAAAAATAGGGAAAGACATAATAGAAAAAAGCAAGATAGAAATGAAAAATCAAAAGAAATCGAGAAAAACAGAAGAGAAAGAAAAAACAAAAGAAAAGAAAAAATAACAGGAAAAATAAAGAAATGAATAAAGACCGCTAACAAATTGAGGAAATGGTGATAGAAATTAAAAACAAAGAAATAGGAAAAGATAGAAGAGGAATGAAGCAAGATAGGAAAGAAAAAAAGAAATAAATAGGGAAAGATAGAATAGAAAAAAGCAAGATAGAAATGAAAAATCAGAAGAAATCGAGAAAAACAGAAGATAAAAAAACAAAAGAAAAGGAAAACATATTAGGAAAAATAAAGAAATGAATAAAGAATGCTAACTAATTGAGGAAATGATGATAGAAATTAAAAACAAAGAAATAGGAAAAGATAGAAGAGGAATGAAGCAAGATAGGAAAGAAAAAAAGAAATAAATAGGGAAAGATAGAATGGAAAAAAGCAAGATAGAAATGAAAAATCAAAAGAAATCCAGAAAAACAGAAGCTAAAGAAAAAATAAAAGAAAAGAAAAACATAACAGGAAAAATAAAGGAATGAATAAAGAACGCTAACAAATTGAGGAAATAATGGTAGAAATTAAAAACAAAGAAATAGAAGAAGAGGAGGAAAAAAGCAAGATAGATAAGAACACGCAAGAAGAAAAACAAAAGAAAAAATAATGAAAGAAAGAGAGAAACAGAAGGGATTGATAGAAAGATATCAAGATAAAGAGGGAAGCAAAAGAAATAAGAAAGGCAGAAAAAAGGAAATAAATAAATGATCTTATTTTATATATTATTAACTCCACGTTTCATATCTTCTCTATTGATAGGTTGAAAAATTCCAAGTTCCCCGTGGTTGAAAAACTATTCAATTTAGTAAATTATTTGTTCGTTTCGGGCTCCTGGCCCATCATCAGAAACTAAAAATAGAGAAATCTCATGGTATAATTCCCAATCTGAAGGCACACCCATAAGCAATTTCCATTTTTTTAAATAAAAGTATTTATTCCTGGACTATGCGAATGATACATATATATTATTTTTTCACCCCCTTTATTTGTTGAGGGGAATGTGGTATACCAATAACTGACTAAAATAAAATATATGTTTCAATTACAGTTTTAAAACCATGTTGACGACATTCCCCTCAACAAATAAAGGGTGTGGAAAAATAATATATATGTATCATTTGCACAGTCCAGGTAAAAATACTTTTATTTAAA